GAGAGAGAGAGAGAGAGAGAGAGAGAGAGAGAGAGAGAGAGAGAGAGGGAGAGAGAGAGAGAAAAATAGCCCGAGACGAGTGGAGAGAAATAGAGAGAAGAACGGAAGGAATTAAGAACTGGAGAGAATGAAATGTGATGAGCACAGTAAATAGACAAGAGGGAGATTGAGCACAGATATATATATATACATAAGAGAGAGATTGTTTTGCGATATGCAAAATCCGTCATCCCTCATTTTGCCGCGCACAAACTAACTGCTTCATGAACTATGTGATTTATCTTCGACCATAATAATTGAGTTAAATGATAATAGTTAAACGATAAAAATATATGATTATTTTGTCTAACTTATAAACAAACATATATATTTTTAATTATTTCACTGTATCGCTAGTTATAAAATGTATATTATTGCTAAATTCAGCCATTCACCATAAGACATTCCACACGCGCGTAAACGTATGTCACTCAAGTAAACATGAAAAGATGCTTAAACCTTATACTCAATCCATATATCACCATTTCTACAAACTTCGCTGTTTGGATGAGGATCGTTTGTGTTTGCTATAATAAGCACTTGTAGGTAGGCGTTTACTTTATGGGACAAAACAATGTCTTTCATAGAGATGGCGGTCGTATCAATAAGGAACCAACCATCTCTATAGGAATGGTAGATGGATGGTTTTAAAATAAATTGATTTATAGAAAATATAATCATTAATATTCAAGAAATATGTTCATTCCTGTGTAATAAAAATGGACAAAAATTCTTAGACATTTAAGTTCATACTAATATTTTTACCCATTTTGACTAAAATAGCACCTGCTAATATGTTCCCGTGTTATTACTAAATTAAGTGCCAGCCAGCAACACCAACTGGCATAGTACAAATAGCACGGCAAAGCTAGCCGTAGGAGAGACGATTATCGGCTTTAAGGCAGTAAGGCCCTAGCCAGCCATAACTTGAGACCTCTTATTTTTGCTCTTGTGGTTAGGAGCGCTAATAAAGTAGAATCGAGATTAGAGAGTCTTTATGGTTTATTCTTGCTACGACGGAGATGTCTGTTTGGTCTTTGCTCTTGGACTCACCGTCGACCGTACTGATTTAAGGCAGAGAGGAACAGTTTGCAATTCCCGCTTCGATGTTGATGCCTATTTGAGAGAGAGTAGGAGAACAAAGAGGGGCGATCGCATCGTACGGGAACATATCGATTATCAGTGAATCGTTTATAATATTTTTATTAATAAAAGTCGAGAAAAAGTTAAACGAGCAGGAGTTTTAAGAGCCGAAGCGGCCAGCAGTAAACAGGCGATACTTTCCACAACAAATTTGCTGTTAACGTGGACCCTGCCGCGTCTGGGATGAGTCGCACATTAGAGGTACTAACATACCACGTTACAGTTTATTAAAAAACAAACGGACGGCCAATGGCAAACTAAAGTCACTTTCAGAAAATAGCAAGCTGTAGAAATGTTAACCAAAGAGTGTAAAAATTTTTTAAAAACCTCTACGTGTGTAAGGATTAGCTACGAGATAGGCATTGCGTTTACTAATAATCGGTTAAATTTATCAATGATCCAGAGAGAGATGTCAAGCCAAAACTGCTAAACATAATCTCAACGAATTGTAGATAATGGTTTGCAGAAAGTCCAAAAGTAAGCAAAAAGAGAAGATTTTCGACTAGTAACGGAAAGGACAGTTTGAAAATATCCACATCTAAATGAAGCAAATCTTAAGACAATTCATAGCAAGAAAAACGGCGAAATCTTCATCAGAATCAAAACAAGTATCTTCTTTTTACTGATAACGTCTTGACTGCTTAAGGTCTAATCTGAACTTCTCAAAATAAGCCAACAGGCAGAAGTTTTAATCCTATTGATATTTTATTCTGTTAGTAAGCTAATGTTTAGCGATTTTCTTAAAAAAAGTGTAAGGAATGGAACTTTCCCTCGTTGGAGAAATTTACCTTTTAGTGAAATAATGCTAGTGTATAAGCGTCAACGGCTATTCCAGGCGATCTCACCTTCGTCATATATACCCTGCACGTGAATAAAAATCCTAATATCTCCTGATCTTATAATTCAATTTCCTTTTATTAATTAACTTATGTCACTAACTAAAATACTTCGTTCGAATAATAAAGAAAGGGATCTAACTGCCTATAAAGAACTTAGCGGCAAAAAATTAAAATTCAAATGTCTATACTTAACTTAATTTGAGCTATCATCAGCGGTCATCGGACGGAACGGACGGTCTTCTTTCAACATATCCTTACTTCGGCACCTATAGCGTGCGTTCCCAGCGGATGATGACGGATTTCGTTTCGGACAGATCGATCGGCAGTATGGTTGCGAGAAGGAAGAGGTTGTGGCATTTTTTTCTCCACTATGCCTCTGTTCGAAAACGAATTGTCGTTGCCAATTGGCTAATTGATCACATTCGAAATATGTCAGCTAACTTATGTTCTGATTGCGTTCCATTCTTACTTATAGTATACAGCGTCCCCCCTATTGTACAATAAACTGCTTATTAGAAAAGAAAATCAATGGAAAGTAAAATATGCTAACTGTTTTAAATAAATAGGAATAACTTATAACCACGTGTACCATTTCCACGGGGAACATTTTCATAAGAGAATATCATTCATTACGGACGAATCAATTGAAGTGAGAAACTGTAACATGTTCAGAGAACACAATGAATGAATTTACTTTTTCAATATTCGATACTAAATGAATTTAAGTGAAGTAACGTCAGCATAGCCAGCAGAAAGGACTCTAAGCGTATTTTAATTCCCGCCGACGTCCTAAACATTTGCCATAGCATTATTTCCGTCTTATAAGATTATTATTCAAAGCAAATACTTTCATTTAATTTCCACTGAATGAAATACTTAACGAAACCAATTTTGAATGCATTCGTAGAAATTAAGTTTTTTAAATTTGAAAATAAATTCTAAAAAATTAATACGTTTGCTATTTTTAGAATTGCGTAAACACTTTTTACAACTTTTTGTGCTATAAAAATGTTGTCAACATTTAGAATACAGTAAAACTGCATGGTATGCTGGAAGAGAATACTTATTTGGATAAGTATAGTCGAGACTAATACGAGCCTTCTTCATATGACGTGAGCTGCTAACAAACATATCTCATTCTCTCATTCTAGTATGAGAGTATGCTCGATAAGTGCTTCTATTTGTAGAACCTAGGTAGAGCATAGGTATAGCGTCAACTATCAACCTAAAATTTCCATTCGGCTTAGCTTTGTCCGTACGTCTGTCCGTCTTTTTACGCCAAATTTAAACCGTCTCCCTTCGCTAAGAATGTGTAACAATGAATTTGAAAGCCATGAGAAGCGATTGAAAATCAGATGAAGACACGGACAAGTGATCGTGGATAATTTTATTCAATGGAATCTAAGGATAGTTTTTCTACACAAAGCTTTAAGGCTGTAAAGGTGATTTTTAAGAGATAGACGGGAACAAGGTCTCAATTGCTCAAGCATATGATTGCGTTTTCGTCGATTACCATTGCGTAATGTAACTCCTTCCGTTATTTGATGTTGTATATCCTCGGCATAAAGCAACAATATGCCAGAAATATGAACCGATAGCTCTTAGTATTTACATCAAGGTAGCGGAGTCTATAACACAGCATTGCTTCCTTGAGACCTTTTTATTCCCATATCGTTCAGCCAACCTCTCTAATCACCTCATTTACATAGGTCTATAAATACTAGTTAGTCTGCCAACATAAAAAATGTCTCTGCAGATATGGTCATGAAGACAAATTGGACGCATTTCTTCTTTCCCTTTTTTTTTAGGAAGTAAACGCAGGCCCTCTCTCGTTAACATTAGATTCATCGACGTTATGTGTATAATATACCTACCTTTACCGAAATTCGTCAATTTGCGGCGTTAATTTTGTGAATCGTCACAGACACACAAATGAAAATAGCAAGCTTAAATTTAGCGCAAACATGCCGTAATCACATGGAAATATGTGGTGAAAAAATAAACGCGATCCGTTCACATACACCCGTTAATGTAGAAATATCTGAAACAACGTCGAAGAACACCGACAATTTCTCCAAAGTTTTCGTCCATAACTCGATCCCGTGAATTTATTTTTGAGAACTGATCAAGTATTTGCCACAATCACCAACATGGTCACTTTCAGTTTATTGGCGCGTCCATAATAATGATAAAATTTTTATTCCAATTTACTTACAATTTATTTCCAATTTATTCCAATTAAGAACGGAAGATATAAGTACAAATTTTGACTGAACATGCGTCATTTGAAGGTCATATTAACATTTAATGATAATATTATAACTTTTATAGTGTCTCCGATGTGCACTTCTAAGCGTTGCAAACATCTGCCATATTTGCCATTTTCAATAGCATTTGTCCCATCGTAAAATTTGCGGAATATAGATTGAAAACAACAAGAAAGGGAGACGGACAGCCGGACAGACAAGCATAGATCAATTTAAGAAGCGGTTCTGAATAGACTGGTATAATAAAAGGAGGGTCTATTTCAAGCCCTTCCGAGCGTTTCATACATCCGCACAGACTTAATATATAACCTAGTATGCTAGCGCGGACGGTGTAAAGTGTAACAAGTTACGCCACGCAAACCAGAAATAAAAACATGTTTTGTGGCTTATGAGCTCTTAAAAGACATACGCGTCTTCCATATTTACAAACTTGGCACTATGTATGGCATTCTTTGAATAGGTGATAGTGCTATCGCTAGAGTCCAGCTTAATTTGACTTTAAGCTTGAGACTAAATAATAATAGGGAAATTTATTACTTTTCTGATAATTGTTACAACCTAACCTGTATTACAGGATATATTAAGTTTATGGGGATGTACGTAACACTCAGAAGAGATTACGATAGTTTCATCTTTTATTATAAGGGAAGTGGTCCAAAAAAAAACGGTCTAATTCAAACCACTTTCAATAGGATTTGCCCTTAGGTCAAAGAATGTTGCTGTAACAAATTTCATTAAAATATATCAAGAATTGCCACCAACCACCAGGTTGAACATAAAAATACATGGATACTCATCGAACAACAAATTTGGTCCACATATATTGGAAATGGTGATCTACGGATTGAACACAGAAATACGTGGACGGACAAACAGGCTTAAATCAATTCAGAAACGGATTCTGGCTATAATACAAATATAGTAAAGATGGGTCAAGTTCTTCTGGATGTTGCACACTAATTAACAAACTTAATATATCCTGTATCACAAACGGTGTAGGGTATAAAAAGCCTATGTATAAATTTTGCCAAGTATGTAAATATGGGTTTTACAATCATATTTTGGGAAGTCATAAGACACTAAACAATTTTTTTTAGTTCAGGTTTGATGACTTAACTCTCTATACCTTACATCATTTGTCGTACAAGCTTATATTAAGTTTGTGTGGATGCATGCAATGCTCAGAACGACTTGATAGATCCAGCTTTTATTATACTGAACAAATCGCAGTCACTTTCTCCTAAGTTTGTCTGTCCGCCTGTCCATCTTGTTTCCCTGAGAACAGTCTACGGGTCGCAATTTTGATAAAGTTTGGTGCACCAAAGTGTTTTGATCCAACGGCGAGCGCTATTGTATATGTAATATAATACATCTCCGAAAGCGTTTCCTATGGACGGAAGGGAATGATACTTGTTTATGGTCTCGACTTAACAGTAAAAACAACACAAGGAGCAGGAAAGGCTCATAAAGTCGGCAAGTGTAAAACAAATTGCGGTAAGAACGCTAACGAAACCAAGTCGTTCTACTACTAAAGGTCCACCTCCTCTATCTCGTAAACAACAATTATTGATAGATAGATTGCTTTTTCCCCACATGCGTGCGAACCCCATCCCAGCTTTCCTAACAAATGTATTTTTAGTCAATTCAACAGCATGTCCGCACTTATTCAAGGCCTACCTCAGTTAACGGGTATCTAAGCTACCTAAGACTCTTGCCACAATTAGTACAACGTTGTTGCCTGCTATTCAGTGTAGTTAACAGTCAATAAATTTATGATAAAATATTAAGGCCATTTCGCATGTGTATAATTAGATGGTCATTACGTTTAGTAAACACTGGAAACAGTTCTGGTAAAAGGCTACAAAAAGCAAAAAAAAAAAAAAAAAAAAATGGCTCTTCTATTGCATGTAGATGCAATTAGTTTACCACCGCTTAGTTTATATTATTATCGTACTATTAATTAAATGTTTATTTATGGCTCCTGCTCTTTCTTTCATACCTTAATTTTTATTTTTTTTTTATTTTCTCTGTACGTCTACATTTTATTATAGATCGCTATTTTTAAATCTCATAAACACATATATACTAAGCAACAGCAACAACTACAACGAATATTGCGCTTACATATCTATAAATTTTCCGACATATTTATAAGTGAGAATGCATCAACCATATGTGTGGTCACAGTCATACAGATATTAACTAAAATCTGCAACAAGTAGAATATTATGCAAAAAAAAAAAAAAAAAAAAAATTTTTAATGTCTGCATAACTAACATTACATCTTGAAACATCTCACGATTGACTCTGTAAATAGAATCAGTTGATACTCGGTGCTTGACATATAAACATGAGCCTCATATCGATTCGAACATGAATCAAATAAGAAAACATCTATAGATGTAATTGTAAGAATGTTTTCCTTCCAAATGAGTGACAAACAAATGGATGGATGGATATATGTACATAATACGTAAGGATACGATTATACATTTCTATGAATTTATAAAAACTCACCTTATCCTTAAATTTATCCTCCCATATCCGTATACATAAACACATATACATATATACGTATATGTATGTAGTATGGAACGAGTGTAAACGAACCGCATTACTGTCGGATAAAATCACGCGTATATAAATATACATCGAATTTATATAAAAAAAAAAATAAAAATAAAAAAAATTAATTGTGATTTATAAGTGATTGCGTTGGTGTGTAACGATTGATTTGATTTATCAAAAATTTTTCAAAATACTTTTTATCATAAATAATTGCGACACTTGGTTACTATTATTAACTTTTCGTTTTGCATCCGATATCATTGCATAAAAAAATTTATATCTTTTTCGTCTTCTTCTTCTTGTTGTTGCTTTATGATTATAATCGAACTCTTTAAGGTTTACTTGGTAATTGCAGTTATTGTTGTTGTTTTTGTTGTTGTTGTTCTTGCTCTGAATATAATCGCTTATTAAATTATGATCTGATTGCGAATAATTATTATGATAGTAATGATAGTGATGTTGGCAGGCAATCAACTGCTAGGTATACGTAACCGGACGACACATCGTGCAAATGAATATACAGGCAAACACTAGTTCAGCACCTTGGAGGGCTATCATTAAGGCACTCATAAGAATTTCGAGTTTGAGAACGTAGGTTTGAAAACAACATAAATAAATAACAATAGCGAGACTGGGCAGTGTTAATATTACGGATGCTATCGCTTGCCAACCTAAAAAATGACAAAAAAAAAAAAAAATTAAAAAATTTATTAATTAGAGTAAGTTTTTTCAAAAATTTGCTTAAAACATATATATAAAATAAAACAAAAATGTGCATTTTTTTTTCAAGTTTCTGTCACGCAACGCTTCAAAGAATATTTAATAACTCATTTGATATCCATCACCAAAGGATGAGGGGAACGTTTGCAGAAATGCCTATAAGGAAGCCTCAGATCATCATCAAATTGAGAATCGTTTTAAGCATATCCGTCCGTACGTCTGGTTGTCTGTCCGTCTGTACAATATCTGCTATAATCATGCTGCTGGGCGCAAAAATGGAACTATCGAACTCAAATTTGCCAGAAACATTGGAAATTCGTGCATACTATCTTGTATTGAAAATAAATGAAATCGGTCTAAGGACACGCCTACGGTACTATGTAAGCTGACGTCGTCTCTATTTTTCGTAAAGATTAAAAAACTGATAAATGCGCAAAAATTTGAACGCATGTTCTATGGGCTATGCTTTACTAATTGTTGAAAAATTGAAAAACCTGACCACGCCTACACAATGTAATAGTGTATCAAAATTTAATTTTGTTTCCAATACTTTTATAACGCACAGACTCAAGTTTGCAAAACCCTCATAAACTATATATAAAATCTTGGGCAGTTTAAAATTTACAATGTATTCAAACATGTCCATCCGTTCATCTCTTTCTCTCTGTCGGTCTGCCCAACTGTGTAGTGTCTGTGATAAACATTCTCCCGTTAACGAAAATTAAGTGACTCAAACTTATGAAAGGTCAAGCCCACAACGCCCACAGGGTTATACGACAAATTTTTATTTTGAAAGTAGAAAAAATCAGCAGTGCCTCACTCCATATTATAGAGAATAAAAATGTAGTTTTTTTTAATTCTAGAAAAATGTGACCGTATATTCCATGAGCAAGTAGTAAGTAATAAGTAACAAGTAGCAAGTAGCAAGTTATAGTACCTTTACAAAACTGGAAAAAGCGGCCACACCTGCTTGAAATTCATTTTTATTTTCAAAACTTTTTTAACGCACAAAAGCATGGTTCGAAAACCTCAAGTTCTCGCCAACTTTCAAATTCGGAATACACCTTAGCATGTCAGTCTGCCTGTCTGCATAGTACATATGCCTTCTCCCGTTCGCAAAAATGAAGATATCGCTAACGTGCAAAAGAATTTCAAAATTACCCAAACTTCTCGAAAGGCACGCTTACGTAAAACCTATGAACACCTTTGCTTTACACCTAATAGGTTTTCACGTTTCTTGAAAAAATCAACCGTGCCCACTCAATATTATACAGTATGAAATTTAGTTCTTTCCTTTTTTTTTAGAATGACGTTGATGGGACCAGATGGATTCGATCGCGAACGAATATAATTTTCTTACTTGTTTTATTTAAATTTTGGAAGACATTCTCTAAACTAAAAACTTATACGAAAACAGCAAACGGTTTTTTGACGAATTCTGCGCATACCTCGGAAAGAGCTTTTAATGCGGCAGTCACAGAAGATACCGTGTAAAGTCTTATATAGAGACTTTAATAAGTATTCCAAGTAAGTTTGAAAAAATTTATATACCAAGTAAATCCTAAATATTATCATTATATTTCGTCTTTATTCAGTCTTTAAGCACAGAAAGGTGGGGGAGGATTGAGATATGTCAAATATTTTCTTCGAAATACGCATAAGGCGACATGATCGGCATATAGGTAGTGTTATTGTTTGTGCGTCTGCTTGTTAACCTACTGATCTCAAAATTTTCTTATTGCTGTCATCAGGTCAAAATCGAAATTCAACAAAATCAAATACAAGTAAGAATATTATAGTCGGGCAAGGACGACCTTTAAATACCTTACACTACATTATCTAACACAATTCTTATTTTTATTTTTTTGTAGAACACAAAAATTATATCTTGTTCCTATATAAAGGTATACTTTTCAAGGGGGTGCAAAACGCAGCCTAATGTAGTACAAGTTTAATCCTTACATAGGGCAGCATCCAAAAATAAGCGCAGGCGATGGTAGTGGGCTTCATTTTTATATGAAATCACTGTTAGGGATCAATTTTCATCGCCACATATTGAAACTTAGTCCTTTCTGCTCTACAAAGAATCAATTCTCGTGGAAATCATTATTAGGCCCAGATGATCCAAATTTGACACAATCATTTTTTTTATGTTAAATTATTATTATGATGTATCATCATGAAGCATTGAACATTATAACTTTTCGTCTAAACTGTATGATCTTCAATTTTCGTTATATGAGAGGGGTTCAAAAATTGACCCAGCCGGTCCAAAGTTTTCATACAAACTCAGAATGCTATAGTACTACTTCTTAGCCACTTTTGCAGAAATATTTTGAAAATTTCAACATTTTTCCATATAACGACTTTTTAGAATAGGACGTTATATGAGGATTATTCGAAAAAGTATTCCGATCCGAATCATTTTCAATGGCGTTCATTCCCTGTGCCAAAACGCGTCATCAAATTTCATTCCAATATATCGAAAATTGCGGTCTGTGGATTGAACAAACGAAGGCAAGACGGACGGATGGGCAGACAGACAAACTTAGCTTGAATCAGGAAAGTCATTGCAAATCAATCAGTATAATAAAGGGTGAGCCTTTTCTAAGCCCATCTGGATATTGCGTACATCCGCAGTAACTTAACACTATAACTACCGAAATTTTGCTCATACTCGTCTCTACCAAAAAGGTCCACTTTGAGCGCTTATTTTTGCCGACTTGCTACAGTCGTAAAAATGGAGATGGTGTGCACAAACATTAAAAATCCAATGTCAGAAAAAGTGATCGTGAGCTGCCTAAGTGCACGCCCACCATTAACGATGAAAAAGGGATAATATTTTCATGTTTTCGTCTATAACTTTCGGTCGTGTAAAGATATTTCAGAAAACCGGCTACCTTCATCTTTGATCCAAAAAGTGTCTCGACCCTAACCCGCCCACAATTAACGATAAAATTTTCATTTTCAATTTATTTGCTCTTGAATGGTCAAAATGCTAATGTATGTTAGAGTAAATGGGAAACAAAGTGGAATTAAAATTTAATCGCCAATTGTGACCATACTAATAAAGCGATCGGCACTTTTGTTAGATTGATGAAGAAGATGATCCTGATGAGCATTCTGCTCAGATTTTTAAGAAATATCTTTACCGGGTCGATAGTTACGGAAAAGAAGTTGAAAAAATATAGGCGCTTTTCCAAGGTTATTCCCGTTTGTTTCACATTCCGGACGAGTACAAGAACATACGACGCTGAAGCTTTGATTCCGGCTACGAATGCCTATGCCAAATTTCAAGTTCCTATTTTCGTTTTTACGATTGTGGCAAGTTGACAAAAATATGGGATCAAAATGATCCCTTCTGATAGAAATAGGCATATGCCGTCAGCATCGAAAGCTAGACCAGCTAGGGAAAATTGATTATAGGCATGTAAAGATGTTTTCATATAAATAAAGGTGCCCACAAAATTTTGGAATGTTACATGCTTTATGACCATTTTCTTGAAGATCAAACATTAAAAGGATTAAAATGACATACGCGGTAGTTCTAGTGATATGCTATCCTAGTACCACAGGTGGTGTACGTTGTAAAAGCTTTTGAAAAATTCTTTTACAATTTTCAAAAAAGCTGTAAATGTGTGCAAATTTTTTTACAATCGGATCGAATGTCAACTGAGTTATCTGCATGATGATTATTCATCGCGGTTGTCGAAAAACGTGGATCTCTTCCGATCAAAACGAGACATCTCTCTTAATAAGGTACTGCAGAAAATGAATTCATGTAAATTATTCAAAATTACAGGTAATGTTTGTACATATGTATTCCGAGAATCGAAAGCGAATGAATGAATATATGGGGAATTTTTTTTGAAGAAATCATTACTCTTTCGAAATATTTGTTAGTAATGAGTTTTGTGAAACAAGTGAAAGCATGACAGTCGGATAGAGCTAATCTTTAAATATACTACAGCACCTTGCCAAACAAACTTCTTCAGTTATTTTCCCAATAAAGATTAAAGAGTGTGTATTGCTTCCATTCAAAATCATATTTTTCTTAGGAGGTCTTACGGTACTCAAAACGTGGATTAACTTGTTCCAATATTTCGCAAAATTAATTTGCCTCCGAAAGTTTTTAATCTTCTTCACATATTTTTATCATGAAGTATTAATAATTACGATTTACTTTTTGTGAGATGCCTTTTATGCGACAGGATATACAAAATCCCAACAAAGTTCGCCCTTGGGCGAAGATGCATATCACATTTCTTCAAAAATCCCGGACGAATAGGCAGATACACGAACCTAACTCCATTTTGGAAAATGTTTCCGATGAAATGATTCTAAATCAGAAAGTTCTTCTGAATCAGTAAAAAGGTTCTGAATAAAACGATGGGTCTGTCTTAAGTCCTTCTGTAGCTTACATACATCCTCGCAAACTTACCGTACACTACAAGTACTGTGAAATGACAATGACTGCTTTCAAAAATATTTTCCATAATTATTTCTGCATTTCCTTAAACTAGACGATGGAATTTCTAATGACAATCTCAGTATCAAAATAACGCGGAAGTTCTAGGAAAGTTTAGTTCACAGACGCATTCGATAGATTTATTTTTGCGGCCAGGAGAATGTTCACAACAGACTTATACAGACGGACATGCTTAAATCGATGCTGATCACGAACTTGCTTAATGGGGTCTCGGAAGATTTAAAAATGGACCTAAGCAATAGCACTTACTTCCTGTAATTGAAATTTGAAGTCGATAGGTTTATGTATTACACAAGCGAACAGACGGACAGACGAACATGCTTAAATCGATTCAGAATTTGATGCTCATCTCGAATATATAGGCTTAGTGGGGTCTCGGAAACTTTCTTCTAGGCGTTGCAATCGTTTTGATAATCATTCGGTGATGAGTATAAAAATGATTTGACTTATGATGTCTCTGTGATGTTGCTCAGAATACGGTTGATAAACCTGTAGTAATAAAAATTACCCATACGTCTGGTGTACGAGAGTTATAATTAACTTTATATCCCCACACAGACACATATGTATACACACACACATATATATATATATATATATATATATATATATATATATATATATATTTCATGTTTTTCCGATTTTTACTACAATTTTAAGCATTTGCATTTATTAATTAATTAATTAATTAAAATTGAAATAGAGCTGAATAATGCTTACCACGATCACTTAGACTGCTTTGACGACCTAATATGTTGCGTATTGTCTCCACAATGCACATGGCTAATAGTATGCAGGCCTCTCGAGTTAATACATTCTCTTCGTATGGCAAATAGATGGGCTTGAGGACACTTATGCATATCTTAAAGGACGCATACAAACCGAAATAAAATGAATTCAAATACATGAGAATCTCATACATGAGACTCGCATTCATTTTACGAGGCAAAGTGTCACCGGCTATGTTGCTGAATGTTGGATTTTTGATCGCTTAAACTTTAAAGGTGGTTATGGGATCTGGTGGTGTCGGTTATGGTGTTGCTGGTGGTGGTGGTGGTGGAGGTGCTGGTCGTATTCGCGTGGCGTTTCGAATGATACAATGTTAACTTTTAACGGACTTTTGCACTCTATTTGTTTTATATGCGGTTGCTACATTTCTTCTTAAGGCAACTTGATGGAGGCTTAGTGGAGGACGGCACTTAAGCGCTAAAGTGTACACAATATATGTAATATGTAATACTTTTTTGTTTTTACGCTTATATGAAATTTGCAGTTAACTGGCTAATACAATAATTATCTTTCAGGGGATATTTGAACACGCCTCCTCTTTTCTTCTTTTTGTATAATTATTTAAATGTTGATATTTCTGCTGATATATTCCATATAAAATAGCTTATAGCACAAAATGGCGCTTAAATTATAAAGCGTCATCGACAATCTCACATATATACATATACAAATGTATATATGAGTTGGGTCTGCTCCTTTATCTTTAGGTGACAAAAGTATTCCACATGTGTGTTGCAAGAAAGAATTTTTTTTCCTTTATATGATGATATTTTATTTTATCGTTTGCGTAAACGCAAACATAACCGAGTTGCTGCAAATGTAAAGAGCAATATTATTAATGAAAAAAAAAAAAAAAAAAAAAAAAAAAAAAAAAAATTTATAATCACTCGAGAGTTATTACTTAACGTTGTTCTTTAAACCCTCAGGGAATACTTTTCTTTGTTGTTTGGTTGGTTGGTTGGTTCGTTGGTTTGTTGATTTGTGTGTGCGAGTGTGCGTGTAATATTTAATTTTTTCAAAAATGAAAACTTTAAATAATTTTCTTTTTTTTTCTTTTCCTTTTTTTTGGTTCCTTTTTTTGGTTTTACTACATTTCACGTAATATGCTCTTAAAAGAATTCTCGCAGGTTTTTCCGTTTCTTCGTAATTCTTAAAATTCATATCATTTTTCTTTCTTGTTACGCACCACACACTCCAGCCTACGTACATGTGTGTATGTTTTCTTGTATACGAATTTTCATAATTTTCTTTTATGCTGTCTTTTTTTTTGCTTTTTTGTTTTTTAAGATTTTCTTTTCAACGATATTTTCCATTCTATTGTAGTTTTGTGTCAAAAAAGAACACAAAAAAAAAAAAACAAAAACAAATTTTGAACACCAGAAATGTTTTAATTAATAATTTTACGCTGCTTCTCAACTAACTACTGTGGCTCAAGTAATAATAATCGGGAGCTAAAAACTTTCGCATTTCGAAGGAACGGAAAAGAACAAAAAGAAAAAGCAAAAAACTTTTGTATTACTTTAGTCCAAGTGTCTGCCTATATGAAAACAAATTCATTTTTCCATACACTCTGTGCTAATATGTCTTCATTATTTTTATTTTTGTTTTGTTAAATTCACTTGATTTTTATTTCTATTTTAGAGCTGGAAAACGTTTCGTGCTGTTTTCATTTTCGTTTCCATTTTCTTCATACAAAGTTTACTCTAAACTCTACTACATGTGTATGTTTATTGTATTCAAAAACGACATAATATAGTTGGTGCTGCTTCTGCTTCTCTTGTTTTTGTTGTTGTTATCTTTTTTTTTATTGTTGTTGTTATTTTTGCTGATTATTTTATTCTGTTGTTGTTATTATTGTTGCTATTGTTGGTGTTGCTGGATGTGTTATTGCTTCTAAGTAATATGCTTTCTATACATTTTCAATTTAGTTTCTTCTATTGTACATTGTTCGTTCGTCGTTATTAATCAATTTCAAATGAAAATTCTTCTTCGTTTTTCTCTTCTCTCCTATCGTTTCCACGTATACATCGCGCACAGTACAAGTATTCGCTCATTCATGTTTATAGTGTTCATCGTTTATATCGTGTTATACCGACACAATCATTTCACCATATTAAAGCACATCACACACCGAACCGCACCGCACCGCACCACACCGCACACACAGCAATAAAATTATCATCAACGGTTTGGCTAATACTTGTAAAAATGAAATCCTTGAGTTGAAATGAAAATTGATTTCTCTCACTAATACCGTACAATTGAAGATTTAGCAGTTTTTCTCCATTTTTTTTTTTTTTTTTTAAATCATTTCGGTTAAATTTCTTTTCCATTTTTATTGCCTTTGATGTTTTTATTAATGTTCTACAGCTTGTTTGATGTTAACGAAAAGGATCAAAAAAAGAAAAACAAAAAAAAAAAAAACGTCATCATTTTCATTTTTATTCGAACTTGTCCTTTAATAGGTGAGAACATATGTGAATTCAGTTGTTTTGTTAATCAATGTGTGTGTTTGGGTATATGTGTGTGTGTGTATGTGTGTGTGTATGTGAGTTCCTGTATTATACATATATTGTCACATATGTTACTCTCTTCACGTCACTGTTTCCAATCGCTTCAGTGCTGTTCAAACTTTTAATTGGTTCGATTCAAATTTTAAATTTTAGATTGCCAAGATTACCGAACAGATATTTATTTTGTCAATTAAGAGGAGAAGTAAAGAGTTTATTGTACGACCAAAAAATTTATTGTACAACCAGAAAATTTATTGTAAAACTCAATTGTGTCATACATTAGCGGTCAACTGTCAACTGCCATAAGATTAAAGACGACGTTTTAGAAAATATAGCTTGATATATATCTTCGGTAACCGTTCATTGGTTCGGCCGAAATTTGGTATACCGAACAGAACGACAAGTACGCGTCCATAAGTGTCAAACGATATTATTTTCTTCAATTTTTTTAATACGATAATTAATTTTCACATCGATGGGCTAATAGCTCCTTCAACGTAACAAGCAATATGCCCGATTATATCTTTATTGCAGAATGTGGTAACCGTAAGCTTTGTGTACGTCATTTTGTAACATGGGCATTCATTGGCCGCCTTGCAAGCTGCAGTGGTTCGTAGTCGACTCAAATTTCGCTGAAGATGAGCAAATTACTTAGTAAATCATGCTAATCGGTGCAATAATCCCTACACATTCCTCCCTTACTCATCAGAAAGAACTTGAGTTCCAAGTCTGCATTGATTCGTAAGAGAGTCAAATCCCATCGGCAGTTAACAAATGCATATAGCTGAAAGTTAGCTGTTGCTTTTGTACGCAACTGTTTGCCATAAACGATAGCTAACGGAAAGTTACATTTTTCATATGTGATTATTACCCTTATATACGATATTTGATTACGAAATAGAACAAGGGTTGTACGTGCTTCATGGTAACTTTTTATACGAATTAGCAGCACTTACATAGCTTGAATGGACTAAATACACGTTAAACCTTGTACGCAGGCTATGTGTTTCCAATTGTAGGGAAAGTATTGGTAAAATTTAGATGGTTTTCCAAAAAAAGAAAAAAATTTTGAAATTATACGCAATATATTGAGGGCATAAGTGGATTCACGTGCGATATGATAGCAAAAAACGATACGATTGTATTTCGGTTTGATGATAATCGATTGTTTTCGTATTAAATTGGGTTTCCCGTTTGTTGTATTTATAACGTTGCATGTGCGTATAAAATAATACAAAAAAGAGGAAGAATAGTAATATAAATAGACAAATCATATACAAAATTTGAAGATTAAAATAAGTACAAAAAATAAAATCTATTAAACAAGAATATAAAAAAAAAGTTCAATAAAATATATCAGATCTTTTCTTAACAGCTAGCATGATTTCTATAATCCCCAAAAAAATTTGCCTGTATATGCACTTACCAAACTGGCCCTAAACATCACGTTGTCAGGATACTTTTTAAACAGTTTCTAATATATATCCAGTTTTTATCGTTCCCGCAAATTTTTTCTTTATTTCCATATTCATTTCTTTTTTTGTATTTTATGGCCTCAACACCTAAGAGCACAGAAAGTAATTATTTGATTTTGTTATTAAGTAGTTTTTCTATATCAATTAATATTAAAACGATATTTCACTTTATTTTCTCTGTGAACAGGAGCTTCGATAGCTCTTTTGCTTTCGAGCTAAAATACTCGCATGACATTTTACATTCGATACAAGCGAGCATTCATACGCTAACGAATAGCGTCAACCGAAATTTTCCTAATAGCTCGCAAGCTATTTTATTTTCTAGCTAAATTACTCGCATGAAAATTTACGTTCAATAAAAAGTAAACATTCATAAGCTATCGAATATCATCGATCGAATTCTTCCGTTTAAACATGAACCTGCAAGCTATTTTGCTTTCGAATTAAAATACTCGCATGACATTTTCGTCAACCAAAATCTTCCTTTTAAACATGAGCAAACTATTTTGTTTTCGAGCTATAATACTCGCATGATATTTTATGTTCGTTATCAAGCGAATACTCATACGTTATCGAAAACCATCAATCGAATTCATCTTAACGAGTGATCTCTAACGGAAATCAATAGCCCAAAATGCAAGATCCGTATCGAATTTTTTCGAAAAACCGTAAGCCGATCCTATATTTTGAAAAAAAAAGGTTTAAGGTTATCGTTTTTCAATAATTATGGATGTAAGACTTTAACCAAATATTTAACTTAAGAGGACAGTTATGCTAAAGATTTTCAAAATTGAGCGAACTATTAAAATTATAATAATGGATATAATCACGCATGGAAAATTTAGCTTTCGCTTTTGTTTTCAGTTATTTAGCAAAAACGCACACAATGACTATTAGGAATTACGATCAAATATCGGAATTTACTCATGTATTGATTTTTCATTTTAGTAAATATACGCAATAACACTTGTGTTTTAATCGAAGAGATTGACCACAAAGTATATTTGCTTCTAGTACTTTAGTACCTTTCTAGTACTTTATGTGTATGAAGAGAATAATAGGTAGAAATCTTCCCATTTTTGTTTCCTCTCCTTATTCGTTTAGGTTGCAAACGATGCACAGACATCTGAAGTGTTGGATGCATTAGAATGCTGTGGAAAACCGAAAAAATATTAATTGCTTTCCACAAAGAAACTGGAAATCGGACAAATAACAATACAAAGTGTGTTAAAATCACATCAGATTTAAATGAAAGCTTATTACAATCGAACAAGGCCACAAATATGTTATCTCGAAAATTTAGCCAGTATGTCCTGGAGACAATATTCGAAAACATAAGAAGGCACTGCGGAGCTCATGAAGATTTCCTGAGATTATGTAGTAAAAATCAAATACAACTAATTTTATGATAAAAGCTTCTACGCTGAGTGAAATCGAAGGCATATTAAATTAATCTAAATAATAAGTTTGTAGTTAAATTAACATTTAACTTGCATTTAGAAAATATTAATTATTCAATTACCTTGAGAAAATCTCCAATTAAAGAAGTATAAAGTTCAAGTAAAAGATTAGAAAAATTATTTTCATTTTATATTAAATAAATGCATATAAAAATAAAATTTATATATATAAATGAATGATTGAATGATTGCTTTTGCTTTGAATTTCACATAAAGCATTAGTTTCTAATGCTACAGCTAATCACCAAAGCAATACTGTCTAAAAATTTCTTAAATTCCCACAAATACCATCTACAAACCTCTTAAATCCACACTATACCGTCTACAAACCTCTTAAATCCACACAAATACCGTCTACAAATCGTATCAGCATATCAAGCATTCCAGATTGCAAACAGCTAACACTTAGAAACGGCTCACTCGCCTGCGTTACAAGAACGTTTCAGAAGTGAAAATAAATAAACAATTAACATATGGCTTGAGAAATAAAAGTAAAGAAACTAACGTAAATCTAAACAATCAATATAAGAAGGGTAAGAATAAGAAAAACAGTGTACAAAAATGTATGCATTTGATTGTGTAGCGAAATAAAATAATAGAAAAAAAAATAATGCGATGATTTTAACTGACATTATTGAACAGCGCAAAATAAGAGTAAAACGACAATGTATTGAGCAAGAGCCCCTGAAAAATCATCATACTTTCTGTTAAACGAGAAGAAGTAACAGAAAAAACATAATATTTTCTGTTAAATGAAAAGAAGTAGCAGAAAGAACAAAATACTTATCGTTAATGAGAATAAGTGGTGGGAAAAAACGTAATACTTTCTGTTAAATGAGAAGAAGTGGTGGGAAAAAATCGTAGCAACTGGATATGCTTTTACTTTTGTATCGCAATGAACTTACTTTGATAATCACAATGAAGCCCACTTTTCTGATTGATGTCATAGTTTAATATCTTTTCCAGTGTTAAGTTCGAAATAGGTATTCTTTTCCAGTATTAAGTTCAAAATAAGCGAAATTGGTATTCTTTTCCAGTATTAAGTTCGAAATAAATGTTTAGCTGGCGTGTTAGTACTTTAAGCCAAAAAATATGCTAAGAAATTCTTTATTTTGCAAACGATGCCTTTGTGCCTTTCACAACTTGAGAGAGTAAGTAAATGAGCGAACTTCGAATTTCACAACTTGAGAGAGTAAGTAAATTAGCGAACTTCGAATTTCACAACTTGAGAGAGTGACCACTTGTTAGAATGTAAATATTGGCAATATTTATTCTCCTTTCTCCGCATCACCTAACGTACATAAAAATACATGTGCACAAAAATAAATACGAAATTTTTAATGATGATGAAATGGAAACTTACACGCTATAACGGGTGCGCAAAAACCAAAAAAAAAACAAAGGAAGAAATCCCAAGAAATCCCTAAATATCCTAAGCGGAATGCAATCGTATCGTCAACATGTGAATAAAGCTCAGGGACGAGATGACAATTTGAAAGATAAGAAGTGCGGAAAGATCTTAACTTCTGCATATTCGCCGTTGAAAAAGTTGAGAACCGGAACGCGGCACATACATTCTTATATGATAGCCATCAATCGCATGGAATTACGCCTCGTTCGTTTCCAACAAGATTAATTTGTAATTGTCTCTGGTGCTTTTGAAGAATAAAGTCATCTAAAAGATTAACTTAAAATTGGTCCTGATCAATGAAAATTCGTTCTAACGGTTTGCGTCAATCTTTACGACAAGAAGGTATCGAATTTTCATTGCCTTTGAAGTTGGACAAAACGTGTAGCCAGCTAAAACCAGATAGTAGTGACTCTGCGCAGTTAGAAGAAAGTCGCTATAGTGCGAATAGTGAAGAAAAGGAGAAAGAGTGGCTTGAAAGCTTAGAAGTAGATGTGATAGAAATTCGGAAAATTCAGTCAACGCACGAACGCAAAATGAGAGCTCAAGAAATGTCTGAAGAGTTCAGTGACAATTCTCTGATGCTTATCGAACGTGCGGAATGTCAAGGATTCTTTAGTTTTCTGTTAAATGCTAAAAGCACAATAGGCACGGTAGGTCGCCGGGCGGGCGTCCCACCTTCTTTATTAGCCCCAATAGGGTTTCCCAAAGCCACAAAGCAACATTTGAATACGCGATCATCCAAAGTGCGTATGGATGGCATAGATTATTATAATATAGAAGTAAAAGGTGTAACCCTGACCTCGTTTTTACCTTACATTTGTCAACTTTTAGGGGAAACGAAGGAGCGTTCCAATACAATTTTGGCCTCCAGTTCTGAAGTTCGCGGAGTTCTTTCAACAATAATTGAAAGCATATATCTACAACGGCTATGAAAAAATCCAAAATATTTTGCTGTGAATTCAGAAACTTTCGATTTGTTATGTGTACTTCTTGGAAAGTCGATCCCTAAACCGTCAATTTCAATTTAATGTAGACTTTTTCTTCTCTAAGAACACGAACATACCGAAATACTCATGTGTGGTACTGATAGAATGCAGTGCCTGTCCGTTTCATACAATATAATTTGTGCACAAGATCCTTTATGAAACAAAAAAGTAAAATATTGTGGAAAAATTTAACAACTGATTTATGTATTTATACGTGAAATACGATTAAAATAAATGAGCAACCGAATTCAATTAATTCTTGGAAATAAATCGCATGCTACATATTATTAAAAACTATTACAAAAGCAAGGTAAAAAAAAATAAATGCGAAAAAAGCATGTATACGCCTATCAAAACCTTATATCCATAGCCGGTACAGATCCTAGTTGCGAGTGTAGCCTTGAGCCGTTGCAAATGTGCAGAAACTTGGCAACTGATAATAGTGAAAAAATGTAGTTCAATTTTCGAATCATAAGAAAATGTTCAGACGAGAAGTGCACTTAGGTACAACAGAGGCAAAACGTGCGATTTAAGAATTTTTAGATAGAATTTCATGAATACGAATATTGAGATTAAATTATAGGTATCGTTTCAAGATTTCATAATTATATTTACATTGGCTGAGTTTTGTGAAAATAAATTTCGTAGAAGAATGGATTGAAACGTTGAAGTTTATCTCACAAAGCAATGTTGGCGAATCGTTACTACATATCTATTAGTTTAGCTAAAAACGAAACATCAAGGTTAAATCTACATTTTTCAAATGGCTAATTAGGCTAATAAAGGTTATCTGTTTTCATAAGGAGGCTAAGGGACAAGCAGGCCGTAATCCAAGCTCGTTAGATTAAAAAGTAGATTTTCCTTTGGAATGTCACACTTTCCGACATATATGAACGAAAGAGAAGTGTTAGCGATTTTAATAACTTATGGAACTCTCTTCATTTCGTCATCAGTACAATAAATCGCAAAGATTTAAATCTGGATGATTATTTACTTCAATTACAAAGGTAAGTCTTTACTGAAATAATTAAGATTTTATAGTATATCCTCTTTAGACGCTAGTATACAAGTTGCACTTTCAGATGCTTGATTGACTGCAATCGCCAAAGTGATGGGGGCACCTTGACAACTCAGTATAGAGGCAACTGTTTACCACCAAACTGGATTTTCCGAAAACCAATGATGGATGTGAACTATATTTAAGTGAATCTAAAAAGTGATGTAAAGTTTTCATATATAGCTGTTATTTTTATAAATTTTTATCATCAATTCAGTTCATTATATATGTAATTCAAATAAAACAAATCTAATTTTTCAATAATTTAATCCATATATCTTAATACAATCAGAAAATACATTTAATCCAATCAAATAGAATCGCGCTCATAAAAATCTTTTCTCTGTTTGTGTTCATTATTATTTATTTTATGAAATTTTGATATTCCAAAAATTGTTTCGTTAATCTTTGCCTCTATAATGTAAGAAAATTTTATGGTGATAAAACCGAAGAGTTTTATGTGTTTTTATTAATGGTTCCATAATTTGAAAGCTATTTTTAAAAATAATGTACTATAATGAAATATATATGATATAAAAAAGGATGGCTCTGGTTTCGGTTGTGAAAGTTGAAACACTCTCGTGAAGTATCTGATTAAGAATAATCTGTCCCGAAGCTTCTACCACGGTACAAGCAGGTGACAGACCGAAGGATTTTGAACCATCTTTGTATAAAAGATTCCAACCTTTACTCTCCAGTACTTGGGTTTTTTCAGCAATTAGATTCCCGAAGACGATTGTCTTCTCTCTTGTACATAGACGGCGAACTGTCAAAAGGGCAGTCTTTTAAAATTGCGGAAAATATTTAAGCGACTGTTCAATTCCTTTGCGACATACAAACAGTAGTCATATGCGGATGGTGACTAACGATTTATCTTGACAATAGTAATCTTCTTCACATCTTCAGCGAGAATAGATTTGGCTGAATTAAGAAACGTGGGGACGATTGTAGTTTTTAATTCATAAAGTATACTTTCTAAAGCTGAGAGATCAGTTTCAATTATAATATTGTTGATGGCCTGCGTCCGAAAAGTATAGCAACTTGCTGTAAGAGTTTGATGGTAGATCGGTTTAAGGAGATTGATATTAGATTTGCAGCTATTATTATATATAAATTTGAAGCAATGTTCCATGTCCAAACGAAAATCTATATAATTTTTCCTATTTGTAAGCATCAATGTATTTAGAAAGTAACGGATAAACCCTTTGTATCACACACAGTTTTAATTAATCGGTTTTTTTTTTTTTTAATTATTTAAGTTCATTTGATCTGTTTATATAACATATATTGTATGAATATGTTCAAAGACATTGTACATGACGATTGTAATGAATTTAACAAAAAAAAACTAAATTTTGAATTAAATTTTAAATTAAATTAGCTTTCAAATTATTCATATATTTTTCCGGAATTAATATATATTTGTAAATTTTTTGTTTATATTAAAAAGCAAAATAAAATCCAAAGTGTTTGTAATAATATTTATATTTACATTTTTAAAACAAAATACATATATTTTTTAATAAATGTGAACAAAAAGTCTGAAAAATTCTCCCTCGAAATTTTTTTTTTTTTTTTTACTCAAAACATCTGTAGCATAATTATCTGTTTAATTATGTTCATCACAGACTTGTTTTCAATAAATGCAAATATTCTAATATGGAAAAACACCTACCTGTAGCATAAAAATTGATGGCTCAAAGGTCTCTCAAAATTACCAAAATAATTTGTATGCATTTGCAATAAATCGTCTTTAAATCTTTATACCCTATACCACTTATGGTATAGGCGTGCGAACGTATGTAATGTCCAGAAAGGCTTAAGATAAATCCACGCTTTATTACAACGATCGATTCAAAATCATTTTCTAAATCCGTCCGGCTGTCCATCTAAATTTATGTTCCAGATATTTTGATGAAATCTGATACGGTGATATATCTCGACCCAAGGACGAACACTATTGAAAATGGTTCCGTTCGGTCTATTTTTTTGACCACTCCCCGTAGAGTGCCTTGTTCCGGAAAGTTATCATATGGGGAAAAATTGCAATTTTCAAAATTTCTTAGCATACGTGACTAATTGGTGGCTGGGGAAATTTTTTGAACACCCTCTCGTATAACCGTTCCTGGGGAAGCTAAAGCTTTATATTGTAAAAAGGTCGAATTTGCAACATTTCATGATGAAAATTAGCTCATAATAGTAAATTGACAAAGAAATCTACCCTACCGAATTTAGACCAGGTAGTTCTAGATACCACCGCATATAAGGATTCTCATGAAAGCTAACCCCTTTTACACCAAGAAAGCGCAATTGTTAATTTTTTGTAATGAACCTTTTTTATGATAGTAATTAAAATAAAATTTAAGTGCACCTACTTGGAACCACGTGGGCGCCATGTGGGCGCTATGTGGGGAAATAGTTCTTCCCCCTTTGCGTATAAGATACCTCATGATGTCTTAATAATTCATAGGAGCATTTCAGCAAAAAAAACTTAAATGATTTGCTAATCATCGAAAATACTGAACAAAAACCTAAACAACTTTTCATGCCGCAAATGCCTGAAATTTTCTATGCGTTCGTTATCATCGCTTTCTATGTCTGGTATTAGCGCACGACTTCCTTTCTTCTGTGTCTGGCCTTAAATATCGTATTTTGTCAGTTTTTAATTTTTTTTTTTTTTTATTATTTGTTTTGCTGAGACTTCTTGTGCTCGACGTTACCGTTATGCGCATACGCATCTTTCTCTCTGAAAACTTAAGAAGGAAATCATTTCTCTCGTAAACATTTTTTCTCTTGTTTTCGAACTTACTAGATGTTTGCAAAAATTTTGCTCAGCGACTCCTACAGGTAAAAGTAATAAAGATATGAGAAATATTAGCGTACATAACGGTTGAATTCGCTGAAACGAATTGACTGCAGATGCTTTTTTTTGGTCACTTATTACAATTGTTGTCAAGGATATGCAGGTACAGCTCGAATGGGAAACTCTGCCATACCCAGCATACTCACCAGACATGGCGCCTCTTTATTAGCGCTTGTTGAGATTGATGCAGCATAGCTTGGCAAAATTGAAGAAGTGCGAAAATGGGTCGCTGAATAGATCGCTTCAAAACCAATATAATTTCTTTCGACATGATATCGCCTTGTTGTCAGAAATATTGTAAAATCTTATAGGAAATGATGGAATCTATGTTGATTAATATATATTGCACCAACTCTCCACATTAAACTTTTTCAAATGTGAAAAAGTGATCCAAATTATTTTATCCGCATTATAAGTGAACAGTTCAGTTGCCGAATCAAATTGCAATGAATTATGATCAAAATACCATTTATAAACGGCACACTTGCATGAATTATGATCAAAATACCATCTACAAACGGTATAAATTATGATTAATTTCGAAAAATGAGAAAATAAGAAATATTATTCGGAAGTAAACTCCCTAAAAATCTGCCACAGATGTATTTCTCATTTAAGTGGTAACGAATAATGCAATTTTTACACGATTTCTTTTACTCGATATTTGATTTAAGGCGAGCTAAAAAAAAATTCTCTTTTTACGCGAATTGTTTGGTTTTAACATGATTTTCAATACTCTACGAATTTTTTTTGCGAATATTTTGAATGAATTTTTCTAATGAATTTCTTTTTTCTTTTGGCCTTCGTATAAATTTTTTCATTCTGATTTCTCGCAAATATATATTGTAACTCCACGTTGCATTTTTCGCAAGTTAATTTGATTTCTCAAAGTATTATTTATAACGCGAAATAAATTCTCAGATAAATTCTAATAAGAATTTTGTAAAATTGTTTATTGGACTTTTCAATTGATTTTTTACGTCTGGAAATAAACTACGATTTTTCCACACGTTATAATTACATATTACGCTGGACTAACACACTCAACTCTAATACCGATTCCGAGTTAAGGTTACAAGGAGTTCGTTCTTCCAGGAAGTCACTTAACTATACAATGTAGTCTCATCCTATTAAAAATTTCACCATGTTTTTTGACAATATTAACCATATGCCTGTATTCCATTTTATACATAACAAGTACAAAATTATCATTAAACATTCTGCTGCCAACATCTGACTTGAAAAGAAAGATTGATAAATCCTCTACAAGAACTCTTTCTTTTAGGAAAAGTTTTCTTTGTTATAAAACAACGATTTCGATCAGTTGGTGAGAGTGTTTCAAGTTAATCGATTGTTGAACATCTCGCGCGAATAAATTATTCAGATTCACGACGCTTGAGGTGCTATCTTCAATCTTTGTTAAGCTTCTTATCTTTTTGTATGCCGTTAAGACAGGTAGACAAAGCTTCAAGTGCTATATTCACTGTCAGCAAATCTGCCTTACATCTTATAGGCAAAAAAGATCCTCACAGAGGAATAGAGAGGCTGCTTGGTGACTGCGCTTTCAATCTAAACGAAAATCCTGACCTCAATACACGCAAAGCACAACGATGTCACTTCCAAAGAAACTTCGCGCACTATCAAAATGCAATCTTTTTTAATGGCTGAATGATGAATATAGAGTGATTTCGACTTTTCTACAAAGTTCACAAGCGCCTCGGCTTTATATCACTATCACGCTCCCCATTTAGTACCTGTGAGATTAAATCGCTCTACAGGTTCAGGAGTTCTTATGATCACATCCACATGAAAACGAGTAAGAATATTATAGTCGGGCAAGGCGGACTGTTAAATAACCTACGCCACATCGTCTAACACAATTCTTACATTTGTACGAAGTTACTATTATGGGTCAATTCTCATCGCCACTTATTAAAACTTAAGCTTTTCTGCCCTACAAAGGATAAATTTTCGTAGAAATTCTTATTAGGGCAGGATCCAAAAAATTGACCGAATTGGGTAAAGTCTATTTTTTTATTATGAACTGATTTTCATCATGAAGCATTGAAAATTAGACCTTTTTGTCACGTGAACTCCAATTTTCGTTACATGAGAGGGTGTTGAAAAATTGACCCACCCGTCCCAAGATCTTCAGACTAAATTAGAATACCGAAATGTTATTATCTAACCACCTTTGTCGAGATATTTCATAAATTGTAATTTTTTTTCCATATAACAACTTTACAGAATAAACCGTTATATGGGGAATGCCGGAAAAACTGGAGCAATCCATGCGTTCGTCCTTGAATCAAAACACGTCATTGCACCAAACTTCATCACAATATCTCAAAAATTGCGACCTTTAGCTTCATTATAAATTTACACGGACAGTCATCAGACGGACAGGCAGGCTTAGATCAATCCCACCACAATTGGTGTGGGGTATAAAGCATAATTCGTGTGAACTCCATACCCAAAAAAAAGGAAAATGCTCATGCTATGGTAACGAAGGTAAAACCATTCAATTTAGAAATGTGGAGGTAACAAATTCCCAAAACTCATATGAACTGAGCAACAATTTCTAATTAAACGAAAAATTGACGAAAATTTTAGAAATTCTTGCCTGCATATGTTTGATGATATATGGACTTTATTTATATATAAGCAAAATATAATATCGTGGCGCTTACTCAGATTTTGTCTCAAAGCTTATGTCGTTTTTCTTGTTTTCTCTTTCTTCTTTTTCTGTTGTTTTTTTTAAACAGATGCAGAAAAATTGACAAAATAATTATCGGAAAACCAAGCAACAGAAACTCCAGGATACTGTTTACCATCACAAAACAAATTCAGCTCAAAATTACGTAATCATGGCGACTAATTGCTAACTCTAAACCTGCAGGCATTTTTCATTATTTACTAAACGGTTTATTATACCTGCACAACAACAACACCAAATATTTGAAATTTACATGCTTGGAACTACTTACTAACTTTTCTAATACCTATTTTTAATTTTTCTTTTAGAATTTTAAATATTCTATTTTTTCATATGGTGGCCGAAAAGATTTTTCAAATACTTTGTCAGATACGTTCAGATGCATTCCTGATCGGTCTAAGATTTCTATCTTTCTATCTTTGCCCAGCGTTTAACGAATTCGGGTTACAGAATAAATTGGTTAGACAAGACAAGTTGATAAGATTTCAATATCTTGTGATATGCTTTCATTTTTTTCCTCCATCCTTGAATCAGATTTGGTTGTCCATTTGTAATAGAAACAACATACACACCTTTTAGAAATCCTAACCCATACCTAATGCAAGTCCATATACTCTTCAATTGCTATAAAAGCTTTCATAGCTAAAAACCTTGGACGTACCACCATTCTTTTAAGTATGTGCAGGTAATGTAAGAAGTATCTTACCTGAGAGATTCTTGTATCTTCTTATACTAAATACTTTTTCCTTAAGTAAGTAATGATCTTCATTTACGTTATATGCAAAAGTAAAAAATTTATTTAAAGCAACAAAATAGAGACTAGGATTCTTTGCGCCTACAGGACAAGTCAATACAAATATACACCGAAAACAGTACAAACACAAAATAATGTAGGATTGGTGTAGGTAAACGATGTATGTGAGTCGGATTCAACATCCCAATAACATTTGGCAAAGTAATGGCACCCAGCTCCCATTTGTTGGCCCATCATTACTTGAACTACATATTTATAACGTGGCATTAAAAGTCGCTCCTTAACAGTTACGTTGACAGTATCGGCTATATCGCGAGACCATTGACCGGCATCATCCACATTGTATACTTTTCCTTTAATCAAATTGCATTCAGTTTTTAATGTATATTAAGAAAGTTTTTAAATGACAAAATAATTTGTACCTTGCAATTTCTCCTGAACAATTTCGCGTACAATATCTCGTATACTCTGTGTTTTGAAGACTTCATCCAACGTTGGTCTCATTTTATAGTTTGCCACATTTTGCGGTGCCTTTCGTAAAGCTGAACCTTCATGATCGTTCTGCATCTTTCCCAATATCGCATCTACTAACACACAGTAAGAAAATTTAAAAAGCTTTCTCACAAATTTTAGTTTAGTTTTTCTTTTAGAAATTCTTTCTGAAATATACAAATTACGGCGTAAACAATTCTAAATTTTTGCTTAATTTGTGAGTTTGAAGTAAACAACATCACGCAGAATAAATAAATTTTTCTTATTCGAACACCCTGTTGTAGCAGAGTTCATGACAAACTTATCATTGAAAAGAAATCCTAATGAGAGAGAAAAGTTAAAGCTTTAGGCATCTCTGTCATTACGAGAGAATAAAATAAGTAAATTGCTAAGAAGAAAATTAATAAAATGTTGCAAATAATTTGTGATTTCTGATTGCAAAATATAATTAAGTGTCTTTATTTTCATTTGTACTCAAATATACGTATAAAAAGTGTATCAAAGTGTTTACGAACAAAAATTCCGTAATCTAAAGAAAAGTAGAATTTCCAACGAAAGTCAGAAAAAAAGAATTCACTGTTTTTCTTCGTTTGCTTTGTTTTATGTATTCGTTTTTGGACATTTACTATCAAAATTTTGTTATACCGGCCAATAGTTCATGGAGCGTAATAATAAAACTTAACGGGACGCTTAATTACTACTCTAGTTTGTATTACTTCTTCTTAAAATATTGTTTTGCTAATTGAAAATAAAGTAGATTATTATTTATTTTAGTAAAAGAAAAAGCGAAAATAAGAAAAAATGTCAAGTTCTATGTTCATTGAAAGCAGTGCGTTGTCCAAGGATGTTGATGATTACCACTCAGCTGATTCGAATTTGGTTGTTGTCTATGGTAAAAAGGGAATTAGTTTTGATGAGAGAGGCTTAGAAAATTTAATGGGTGCGTGTGTTAAGACGTTATCTATAAGATTATTTAAAATAATATAATTAAGTTTTCTTCTTTATAATTGCAGAAGAAAAGAAAATATCATCCATAAGTGTTATACGCTTAACATCCCCAACTCCTAGTATGGAAAATGAGGAAGCCGAAGCAGCGAAATTGGAAGAAATGTTACGAAGGCAGGAGCTTGGATCCGATGAAGGTTCTGAAGGCGAAGAGAATGAAGGCAACAATCACGATGCAGACGAGGATAAGTGCAATTCGGATGTCGCGGAAAATTCTAACGACGAAGAAGAAGATAAACAGACCAACGAAGAATCTGATAATGAAGGTGGCAGCAGCGATGAGAAACAACGTGAAAATAAGAACAAAGTTAAAAAGAAACCAAAACGTCGTGGCCGGATACCAAATGCTTTAAAGTTAAAGAAGCTACGACCGAAACCACCAAAACGTGAGCGTCCCGAAATAGTGGGATTACGGGTAGAAGAGTTCTATCCACCTGAAGATGCCAGTGAAATTATCAAGGAGGCCTTAAGTAAAATTTACTTTACATTTTCTTTTTATTTAATTTAAATTCTTCCCAATTCTTAGAAAAGGCTGGTTTAAGCTCCTTTAAGCGTAACAATGAAGAATATCAATTCCAATTGTTGGTAATAAAAAACGATCACTGTTACACTCCGTTCACGTCGCCTACGCAAATGAAAGCAAAACTAGCGGCCGACAAATTAGAAAATGAAAAGCAGGCGTCGCTGCGTAAAACAGGAGGACCGCAATCTTCAGCAGCGAAACAGCTTCTCACACGTAAGAAAACCGCGAATAACGGAATGTCGTTTAAAACGTTGTCCGCAATAAGTACAAAGGAAAAGTTGAATTCCACCAGCGCAATCAAATCTAAAAAAGATCTCAAAGATAGAAAACAAGTAACAGAAGATGATTTTGATAGAACTGAGGATGGCGCTCTTTCCTCTGATGACGAGCAAGCGAACAACGATGAAGTTATTGACGATGAAAATGAATTTACTACAAGCGATGAATCGGCTGAGACTGATAATGATCGGGACAGTGATCTAGATTTCGACGTTAACAATCGAAATGGACGCAAACGTAAAGTTAAGCCAGGAAGAAATTCTAAACGCAATGCAAGTGTTGTTAAAAGTGCACAAAAACACAGGCGTTTTCATAATCAAGATGATCCGGAAGAACTCCCGGCTAAATCGAACCCTACTCACGTTTCAATTGTACCCAACCTACGTCTAAAACCAAATAATAGCAGGACAATTTCAGATCACTCTCGCATTACAATACGCTCAACCGCAACGAAAATAACGCATAGCAGTGGCGCAGCCGCCTCTGCAACGGCAGCTAGCAGCGCAACAATGCCGTCGAACGTCAGCAGTAACGACAATTCATTATTGGATGGTAATAAACTTAACGCTAATAAAACCGTTACCTTGTCGAGTGAAGGAAATTGCACCACTTCTAATGCCACTGCGAACACAAGTGCGAATAATACTAACGCTTTACGCAAATCTACAAATAATCCTCAAAAAATTATCAACACAAGCAATAATCAAATTAAAGAGTCGACCGCTCCTCTTGCTGCTCCAAGTAAGACTCCTTTATTGGCCAGCTCCGAAGATGCTTTACCCGATGATATATTGCAACATGTTGCTAAATTGGCGGAGGACAGCAAATCCATCCAGGACGTAGTCGAAAAACAAGTTTCTGGGCGCGCTACTGTAGGCGCGGAAGAACCCATTTCGGTAAACGCAAGCAATATTAAAAGTTCATTACCAGAAGAAGTCTTGCAGCGCGAAGTCGCACCTATTACAACAACAACGGCCACCACCAGCGGAACAGCACTGCCAAACGCAGACAATAAATCCTTATTGGATGATAATAAATTTGTAGGTAATAAGACTGCTATCATGCCGAGTGAATCAAAACGTGTCGCTACCAATACCATTACATCTTCAAATGCAAACAATGATAGAGATTTACTTGAACTTGCTACAACTTCTCAACCAAGCACCAGTACTAACACCGCAGAACAAACTAAACAAACCGATTTGGTTGCGGTTGCCGTTGCAGCCAAGTCTCCCTTATTAACTAGTCCAGACGATGGTCTACCAGATGACATATTGCAACATGTTGTTGAGTTAATGGAGGATGACAAATCTCTTCAGGAAGCAGTTGAAAAGCAAGTCTTTGACAATGCTGTTATGGATACTGAAGAAACCATTTCGGTAAACACAAACAATATTAAAAGTTCAACTCCAGCGAAAATATTGCATGCCGATGGCGTAACCGCTGCGACAACTGCGGTCACCGTCAGCGCTGCATCACTGCCAAACGCAAACATTTGCAGCAAATCGTTATTGAGTAATAATAAATTTATTACTAGTCAAATCGTTACGTTGTCGAGTGAGTTAAACTGTGCCACCATCAATACCACTGCGAACACAACTGCGAGTAATGAGGATTCTTCACATATATTAACTCTCACTCCTCAAACAACCCCAAATGTCAGCTTCATCAGCCAAACCAAACGACCGGTCTCTCCTGTTACCGTTACTCCAGCAACTAAAACAACTATGTGGTCTGGAGATACTACAGTTGGGGATATTGATATTTCTAGTGCTCCGCTATTGGCCAGCCCTGACGATGATTTACCCGATGATATATTGCAGCATGTTGTTGAGTTAATGGAGGATGACAAGTCTCTTCAAGAAGCAGTGGAAAAACAAGTCTTTGGTAGCGCTGTTATGGATGTTGAAGAATCCATTTCGGCAGACATAAGCAATATTAAAACGCCCGTTTCAAATCCGCCACCTTTGGCTCCGATATCGTCTAATCAATCTTTTAAACATAACAATGCTATACATAGCAGCATGACTCAGGCAAGTAAAGTTGTTTGACCATCGTCTTATGCGGTAAAATGTGTTAAAGATGCTAAATTTTTTCTAAAATTTTTAGGGAACTCCAAATACATTTAAGAGTATCATACAAATGGCCATAACTAATGTGCCAACTTCGTCAATGCCCACGACACCAACTCAGCGTTCCGCAGCTTTGCAATCGCCGAAATCGTCACCTTTAGCACGAAAGGAGCCCATACAAATCGTAAGAGGGAATGGTCGTGTAATAACTTTACCTCCTATTGAGGCACCAAATACACGGGCAAAACGGCGTGCTCAAACTCAGCCGTACCAATCACAGGGATCAAATTTGAATGCAACCACAACAGTTATAATTAATGACTCGTCTTTGGACGGTTCTCAACAATCGAACGCTTCCGCATCAAGCACGTCTACAGTGTTCGAGAAGAAAGCACTTGACACACAAAATCGCAAAAGAATCTCTAAAGAAAATACAATTGGAGCCAACCAAAGGGCTTCACGAAAAGGAAGTGCTAAAAAGGCGACGGGTAATAAAGCAAATAAGCAACAAGCTGATAGCACAGAATCCGAAATCGATGATGATGACGATCCTAATAAGTAAATATCATAATATATATATATATACCTTCGCTTCGAATGAGTTAACAAATTTTCAATTTAAATTCACTTCATTCAAAGGCTATGGTGTATTTGCCGTCAACCGCATAATAACCGTTTTATGATATGTTGTGACGTATGCGAGGATTGGTTTCATGGCACCTGTGTTAACATTACCAAGGCAATGGGTTTGGAGATGGAACAAAAAGGCATTGATTGGACTTGCCCGAAATGCATTAAAAAGCAAGAGGAAAGGGTATTTTTTACAGATTTATGTTGTAAAGCATTTTTACATGTCTTCAAAATTTTAGGTGCAACCAAAAATCACCGATATGTTAAGTAAAAAAGTGATACCTCAGATTCAGACAGTTGCTACACCACTGCCTAGCACTGTAACAAGTACTGACATGTCAGTAATTTGCTCAACCATAAATACAGCGCCGTCGACGACATTCTCCGCCAACATTGGAGAACCTAAGGTTTCTTTTCAGGCCATTGATACTTCTAAAATCAAACGTTTGCCAGCGAGGCAGTTTATAGCCGTGAAAGACTTAAGTGGAGGAATTAGGAAAAGCATTATTGTCTCAAGTCCCGCAACAAATCCCAAAGAAGTATTAGTTACTAGCAGCGGTCAACATGTCAGTCCGTTAACGTCACCTTTGAAAGGATTCATATCCGTTAAACAACAACCGAAGTCAAATAACCCACTCCCGCAACCGCAGCAGCATAATATAAGGGTACAAAAAATCATACAAGCAATTGTCACCTCAGCCACTCAGTCTACGAGAATCTCAAATACTATTGTCACAACAGCGCCTAGAAAACAACCAACGACATTTTGCATAGTCTGCAAGAGGGCAGCGCGAGCTAATTCAATATACTGCAGTGATGATTGTATACGGAAACATGCACAATCCGCTTTAAACACACTGACGGCTAAAACACAGGCGGAGCCACCTGGTCCAAGCGGCAGCAGTAATTCAAGTAAACAATCAGCCGACGATAAAACGAAAAAGAAATCGAAAGGTCTCTTCGAAGACCTTCTCTCAATGGCTGATCGTAAACCAAAAGTTGAGAGGGTTCGTACTTTTGCTACAGACAAGAACATCTTATTTTAATGAATTAATTTTTTCCTTCAGGTGAGTGTCTTTGAGCGTAAATCCGGTCGAATTTTAACAGGAGTAAGTGCACCCACGACGCTTAATCTGAAGAAATGGCTACAAGATAATCCCACTTTTGAAGTGGTTCAGCCAGGAAGCTCGCAAGCTTTAGATATTGAGGTAATTATCTTAATTTATTTCAATTTCCGTTGAACTTATTATCATTTACTATTATAAAATAGAAGAGACAAAAGCAGCGATCGTTGCAAACTACTTCGGCGCATACCATATCGCCTCCTCCCTTAAAATTATCTACAATGTATGCACAAAAACCTGACACATCAACAATTACTTCAGAGCTTCAAACGAGACCTTCAACTCCGCAAGTTAAGTCATTGAAAACAATATCGGATTATATTAAAGCATCTTCATCATCGCCCAGTCCGCGCCCAAGCACGCCGAAGCAGTTACAAAAATATCCGCAACACCCTTCGATAAGACCCGATAAGATTATCAAAACTCCCGAAGATAAGGTAGCGAAAGAAAAACCTGCGAAACGACCATCCAGCCAAGGAGAAACTAGCAGCAATGCCTCTATGAGCTCCAGCAAATTGGATTCTGAACCCATACGTCTGAATGTAAGACGTACACTCAAAGAGCAATTGTTGCAGCGTATGCATGAAGAATTGAAAGCATTTAGTGATAATGAGCAAACCAATAAAACTCGCCGAATACCCAAACTGTCTACGGAAGAGATTAACGAATTCGCTAAAGCAACTGAAATAGAAATGTACAATTACTTCAGTCGCGATACTGGAAATAAATATAGGGCCAAATACCGTTCGCTTATATTTAACATTAAGGATCGAAAAAATCAAACGTTGTTCGCTAAGATTTGTGGGAAGTTGCTTGAACCGAAACAATTGGTACGAATGTCGCCAGAAGAAATGGCAAGTCAAGAACTGGCACAATGGCGGGAAAATGAAGCTAAGCATCAATTGGAAATGATTAAAAAATCGGAACTTGATTTACTTTCTTGTGCTAAAAACTATGTTTTAAAAACTCATAAAGGCGAGGAAGTAATAGAAGATAAATCTGCCGCTGGTTATACAAACTTAGATTTAACAATACCTGTGGAGGATGTAGTTTCAGCCTTAACTCAATCTTCAGTAAGCAGTTCAATAGAAGCGATTGAAGAAGCATCACCATCGGCAGTGAGAAAAGAACAGTCGGAAGTTGACTCTTCGCTAGCCACACGCATTGAATCAAACTCACCTCTGCTACAGTTTGATAAAGTCAAAGTTGATGAAAAATTAAAGCCATCTACTCACAGCAAAGAAAAAGAGAAAGAGAAAGAAAAAATTAGAGAACGCGATCACGAAAAACGACCAAAAAGTAAAGATCGTCATCGCGATAAATCACGTTCACGTAAACGTAGCCGTAGTCATTCGCGAAGCCGCAGTCGTAGTCGCGAAAGAGAGAAGCGCCACAAAAGTTCACATAAAGATGAGAGGCGAGATCGTGAGGAGAGGGGACGTGATAGGTTTATCAAAGATCGGTTCAGAGACCATACAGAGCGCGACAGTTATGGCGACAATCATGACAAAAGGGTCTCTAGTGATAAAAGGTCAAGCAGCACGATCAGACCAGTATCCAGCAGCACAACCAATAAAGACAGATATCGTGATATTGCTGCGAACTCCTCCTCGACGGCAATTGTAAGTACTTCAAAAAAACAGACCCCAACGCAAATCTATCAACCAACTTATGCAAATGTTACGAAGCCTTTGGGAGGATTTAGCTTAATTGATCAAATACTAGAATCCACAAAAACCGTTGAAGAGGCGGCCAATTTAATAAGCGATAAGGAGCGAGAAAATAATTCCAAGTCTTCAGCCACTTCTTTGCCGGGTCCATCCATCACAAGTAGCAATATGGATTCTTTCCAAAAAAGTCAGCTAGCGAAATTATCCAGTTCACTTACAAACGAAAGCGATCAAGAACCTACGAGTACGGTATCGATACCCACACCGCCACACGATCCCTACATACGCTTCAACGCTGCTGATTCGCCAAATTTCCAGGGCAACATTATGCGATATAATACGAATTTGTGGTCTGGAAATTTGAATATGATTGATGTGGCTTCATTTCAAATAATTCTCCAACCAATATTGGGTAACTGCACAAATTTAAGCAAAATAATGCCAAATGAATTGGATGTAGTGGGGCGGATTAGTCCCGACACAGTTTGGGATTACATCTCAAAAATTAAAAAAAGTCCTAATAAAGAAATTATCATCATTCGTTTAATACCGGCAAATGAATCGGAAACTTCGGCCTACACAATACTCTACCAGTATTTAGAAAATCGCAATCGTCTCGGCGTTATCAAAACTACATCGTCACAACTGAAAGACTTTTATATTTACCCATTGGGTGCTGGAAAGTATATGCCCTCCGTTCTTAGACCAGTGGAACATGTCGAGTTTTATGAAGACCCCTGCAGGCCAGATATATTAGTGGGCGTTATTATACGAGTTGTGGGGAAACGAATTCAGCAGGTAGCAGTCGCTCCAAGCACATCGACGACTAACAAGGTAATGAATACAGGAAAACTACATGCCTTGGATAAAGTTGAAAGTGTCTTCAATTTCTGTGTTCTGTGTTCATAATATAGATTGCTCCACGATCAAATGAGAGAGAACCAGATTCTTTCACGCCGCCTGGTAGTCCGAAATATGTTAAAAAACGTCGACAATCAACGGTGCAGAAAGTGGATGATATTGATATAGACGCTATAATAAAGGCTCCCATTGTAGCCAAAACGCAAAAAGGTATAAACAATTGAAAGACAATCTTTTAATCTTTTAAACTTCAGCAATTTCATTAATACGGTTTGTAGCTGCGAACGATGCTGATGAACCTTATTCACCTGGCGGCAGTTCAGATGATGATGACGTACCTCTGATGCCTGTTAAATTACCAACTGCCAATGCTGGTGAGATAGCACCATCGTCATCCGATGATGATCTTAAACGTAAAATGGATGAAATCAATAGACAAATTGCGGCGCAGGAAATGGAAATTGCCGGTTTACTTACAGGCGAACCAACGGTAAGTTAAAGTTGGTCTTTTTTTATCATCGATTTCTGTTAATAAACAAGAAGTTCTTTTCTTTTTCTTAAATTGATAGGCATTTGCAGCAACTTCGGCAACTTCCAATGTCTTGGCTAATATATCAATACCATCGAATTTATCGCAAATTTTGGCTAGTATAAATATAAAACCAGCTGTGGCAGCGGGAGAACCACAGCCACCTCCTCCTCCTCTAATAGGTTCATTGATAAAATCGAAAACTGTTGCTTCGGCCGAAGATGTCGGTATCGAAGAATATAACCCTACCGAAACTTTAAATAAAAACGTTGAGCCAAACGGTAAATTATGAATAATATTAATAGATAAGAACGGAAACAAAACGATGTATTGCATTTTGACATGTAGATAAACCGACTGCTGCAAATGTGAGCTCAAAATCCAGCCGTTTAGCTCAATTGAGTGAAGCCGAGCTTCTTAGTATGGTACCGGATGATATAATAATTGAGAAAACTCCTGCTCCCGAAAGTTACGACGAGGAACCGCCCCCTCCGGGTGTCTAAAGTTATTAACTATTTTAGATTTATAAAATTGCACACAATATAAATACTCAACTAAAAAATATTTCGGATGTGTGAATAGAATTGAGAGTTAATGAATATGCTAATGAATTTACGTGTATTAAAAAAAAAAAAAAAAAAAAAAAATAGTTATGGCGCTTTCTTCCCAATCTTTATACCGAAATATCCTACTTTTAATTTTTCAGTTTATATTCCTTTTTCAATTTTAAAAAGTTTTCCGTTTTTGTAAAGCACTTTATTTGCCCTAAGATCCAAATAATGATTAGATAAGACCATCATATATTGTTTGAGAATTTTTCAAACTTTTATTCATAATTTTTCGTATAAGTTTTGAATTTTTTACCCGAAACGTTTTTGTTTTTTCGTTTTCTTCTCCAAGTAAGTGAACAGCTATATAATGCTTAGCATTCTTTCGATTTCTATTAAAAATTCAACATATGTCCCTGTAAAATAATAAAAACAAAAAAAAATTTATAATTTGAATTAAAAAAAAAAACACATTTCGTTTTATTCTTAATCAACCGATTCATTATTTAATGTTGAAATAGTGATAATGGCTTTAGTTGATGGTGCAAGGGTCATGCTTAGCACTAAAATGTGCACATGACACCTTTGGCCCATTATGCACTCTTGGTATAGCGATACGAAAGACAATGCCCTGCGGCATACACACGCATAATTTATACTGAACGCTCCCTGTCCGTAGACCCATTTCAGCTTTAACTATTGGAATTTTTTCCATATTCAAATATATACCGGAATTGGCCTCCAAAGTGAGAGCACCTTGAGTGGAATTTATTAAAAGATTATGTTCAGCTTGCAGAAACATTGCGGCTGCATCCATGCGAATCCCTTCAGAACCTCTTATAGATAGGCGATCATCTGGTGCCGTTATAGCCAATGACTCATTAATGGCACTGGCTATACGACTAGCGCTGATTGACTTACTTAGCAGCACATTAGCTCCTTTCGGCATATTGTAATGAGGCCGATGCGTTGTAAATATAACGGCACCAGTTTCTGGATCCTTAATATCAAAAGTATTGATACCGCGAAATTGCACGCCTGACTTATCCACTATAAGTCGATTATGAATTTGACCGTTGCGATGATGCATACGAACATAAACCGCTGCGTTGTCCCCAGTTATTGTAAGCGGTTCATCGATGAAGCCCTCAAATTGTCCTACGTTTTTCGAGTAAATGCGATCAAGATCGGTGCAGCCAAAGAATTTGATCGCATCTTCTTCTGGTATTAATTCCATACCATATATACCTTTGCCCAAACGCAACACGCCAATTATTGTTAATGTTAAAATCAGATTTCCAACGGTGAGTACCAGCAAAACTAAGACTACTGCCCAAAAAGCAAATGTATGCCGTCCCTGTTTAACTGAGGATTTGCTCTCATCCTGTACGCTCAAATTGCAAAACTCTTTAAGAAAGTGCTTCTGCTTCCTTACAGATTGATGTTCTTTCATTGACATACTATCAATAGGTAAAGTAGCTGACATGGCCGCGTTTTCTGAATTAAGATCATCTGAGTACGAAGGTGATGGCCCTCTAACGAATGTGTTCTCAATGGTCTTCATATCTCAGATGAATTCTTAAGGAAAAATATTGAGATCAATTAAATTTAAATGCTTCTATATATATATTTACTTTTTTAATAAAATGCATTAATACTTGTTCTCCTTACGGAAATTTTCCAATTTTCTGTACACGCTTTGTATTATGTATTTAATCAAAACGATACAAAGCAGTCATGCGCAATTTAAAAAGTTCTTCTCTGTTTTATTAAGATTTTTAAAAAAATTTGAGTTAAATATGAGCAGTAACTTGGATTGCCTGCAAGAGTAGAGGTGAAACTGGTTCGTTCACAAGTCACAATTGGAACTACAGAGGAACACAGCCGTTACACCACTTTGCTTAAAATAGTTAACGAATTTTCAATTTAAGGCCTACTATGGGGCGGGGTCGAAAAAGTTGTTAAATAAATCATAAGGAATTTTTTCCCTAATTCCCAAATTGATCTATTTTTTTAAATGGCACCATATATAATGGCTCCCGTGAAAGGAAAACCTTCTAATGTGTCTAATTATGTCCTATGACGGAGGCTAGTGGAAGATAATAAAATCTTTGAATTTTGCTAAATTTTGGCCAAGTTGACGAGTGAGTATCGTGCAACATGAGAACTTTTTTGAGAACTAATTCTTGTATTGGTCGGGCGTATTATAAAGAAAATATTAGACGAAATGGTGTAGGATATCTAACGGTCGACCTTGCTCGACTTTGGCGTTCTACTGTCCTAAACCACTTGTGGGAAAGGGTATATTTAGTTACCGCGGACATAAGTAACATACAGAAGAGCTTAAAAAAGATCCGCCTTTAGTCATAGCAATGGATTCAAAATCATAATCTGAATTGATCTTAGCCTGCCCGTCCGTCTATCCGTCTGATGTCAGTCCAGGTAAATTTGTGTTAAAGCTACAAGTCGCAATCCTCGAGATATTTTGATTAAATAAGGTACACTGAAGTGTTTTGACCCAAGGGAGAACGCTATTGAAAATGGTTCGGATCAGCCCACGTTTTCGACCGCTCCCCATATAACGATTTTTCAAAAAAGGGAAGGGAAAAAATTGCAATTTTCAAAATTTTCCAGTAAAAATGGCTACTTCAGCATTCTAAATTGCTATGAAAACTTTGGGCCGATTGGAGCCCTTTCATATAAGCAAAACCGAAGTTCATACGACACAGAAGCACAATATTCAATGCTTCATGATGAAAATTATGTTATAATAGTAATTTAACATAAAAAAAAATAATTTGGATCGTTTTGGCCTATTTTTTGGATCCTACCTTAAATGAGAATTTCACGTAAAATTGATACTTTTTCGGGTAGAGAAGTGTAAATTTTATTATGCTATGATGTAAATTAACTTATAATAACAAATGGACATAAAAAATAGTATAAAAAGTACCTCAATTCCTGAACCTGTTGGCTATAACCATTCTAACGGAACGCAAGACTTCATTTACGAAGAGGTCTAATTTTTAATATACAGTCCCATAAGAGTACGGTCCTATAAAAACAAGGTATATATGTATATTTGTTCTATGGCAAAAATAGGAACTGGGTTAGACAATATGGTGTAGGTTATTGAATAGTCAGCCTAGCCCGGTTTTCACTTGTTTCAATTTTAATTTAAGAAATTGAACAAAATTTGTTTTTAATCGACTCCGGCCATCTGCAAACGAATTGCATAGTCAAAGAAGTATTCGAATATACACATGGAAATGAGTTCTCCATTTCATTTTATTTTATAATTCAAGTTAAATCTTATTGCCTTTGCAGGCATCATCTAGCACTTCAATCAATGTTGTTTAAACCTTTCACCACTTGATTGATTCCTTTCTCGTTTAGTCGGTAATAATGCCAAGCTTCGGTCTCTGTCAAATCGAAAGCTCCAAGTTTTTTATAAAATTCCGTTGCTGGATTCCATGAAAGCACATGAAAATCAATCCGCTTGCATTGATATGCTTGTGCTTGAGTTGCAATCTGTCGAAACATAAATGAACCGGCTCCTAAACGTCTATAGGCAGGTCTTACATAGATGTCTTCCAGAAAATAACACTTCCCTAGCCATGTTGAGTACGAAAAATAACATATTGCATAACCGATGATTACTCTGTAAAAATTGGCAACAATGAGAATATGGTTAAAAAAACGAAAAATCTCATTAAAATTCAGAAGTTGACGTAATTCTCCTTGAATAAGCAAAAATACTTTATATACTTTATAGGGATCCTCACTTGAGCTTTTTTCCTCCTGTTCACAAATGTCGTAAGCAGGCGTATGAAACAAAGCGTGGAATATATTTAATTCATTCTCTTCTTGTTCTAAGCACATATAAACCAATCGAAACGGAAAAAATAAACCTCTTGATAGGAATTTTTAATTACTCATAACTAACTTCTCTTCAGATGAGAAAACCTTGCATAATGATCTTTATTTGTCTTACGCCAAAGTAATATACTGAATGTCACATGATAATTACACTATTTCTATGATAACTTGATAGGAGGCTACATGCCTTTGTATACATTAAAAAAATGTACTTGCGCAACCTGTCACATCCCTAAATGGATTTTTACACGGTATACCACTTGTTGTAAAGGGTATGTTAGCTTTGTGCGGGCGTATGTAACACCCAGATGGGCTTAAGATACAGCAAGCTTTTATTATACCGATCGATTCAGAATCATTTTCTGAATCGGTCTAAGTTTTCTGTTTCTGTCTGATGTCAGACAGGTTTTTGAGATAACACGAACGTGCTTTGACCTAAAGACGAACGCTATTGGAAATAGTTCGGATCACTTCACTTTTGCGAACACTCACCATGAAAAGCCTTCTTTTAATAGGCCGTTAGAAAAAATATTGTAATTTTTAGAATATCACGGCAAAAATCGCCTAATAACAGTATTTCGGCATTCAATTTCTAAATTGATATGTAAAATTTGGTTCGGTTGGGGCAATTTTTTGAACACCTCTCATATAACCATTTCTACGAAAACGGAATCTTTATAAGGGAAAAAGGCCTAATTTTCATTATTTCAGGGTAAAAATTAAGAGTAAGAGCAAGAGTAAATTGATGAAGAAGGCAATCTTAGCGAGTTTGGACCACCTAGATATATTTCTTGGATACAAAAATATTCAATTATTAAGGTTTTGTGATGAAAATTTGTTTTTGATATTAGTTTGACATAAAAATGAAGTGGACCAAATTTGAATCACATAGATCTATTTCTTGGACCGCACTCCATACAAGATTTCCCATGAATACTAATCTGTTCAGAAAAAGATGTTATGTTTAATATTTTATTTAATATTTAGTGTAAAACTTAATGGGAAAGAACTTGGATCACATAGGTTTTTTTTTTAGATTATAATATATATAGGGATTATCATGAAAAGCAAACCCTTATAACGAGAGAAAGCCTATTTTGTAGTTTTTATAAGTTTTTATGCATAATCATAAAATTTTTAAAAAGTAAATTAAGCTTTCTACATTTAGATCACTCTATGGGAGGTTTTGGGCATCCTCTACTAAGCGATTTACCATGGAAAGCATGCCTTTACTTGAAAATAATGTGCAATTTTTGATGTGTTGTTACCAAAACGAGTGAATAATTGTACGAGGCGATGTGATGAAGGGTGTCTAAAGATCGACCTTGCCTGACTATATTGTTCTTATTTGTTTAATGTTTATATTACAGATTTTTGGTGCTCATTTCTTTTTTCCGAACGACTTTTCGGATGAGGGTCGATGTGCTTACATGCTATATTTCCTCAGTCACATCTCCCCTTGGACTTATTTAGGAAATAGGTTACCATTGTAGTTTTCGTTAATCCGCCCTTAACCGTTCTCAGAATTTTTTTTAATAGTTCCTCCTTTCATAATAATTTTTTCTTTTATTTCGGTATTTCGGCGAAAGCGTCGAAACACTCCTCACCCATTTTTATTATTATATTTGGCAATATTTTGGGATTTCTCTCGTCTACCAGTATTGATAGATTCATTAATTTTATTAAATGTCTGTCTTTATATCCATCACCGAACGAGGTGCTGCAGGATAGGTAAAAGTCGAAAAAAACCTACTGGCTTGTGCCTATATAAAAAAGGAACAATTACTCCCTTCGTCATATATTCCTATCTTTTCGCTTGAACAAACGCATTGTAAAACGTACAGATAAAGTGCAAGGGGTCAAGACTAATTAAATCAAAGAGTCACAAGAATTTTGTTCGCAAAAACTTCATGACTTTAAGACCTTTCGCTTCTTTTTAGGAAATAGGTCGCTGTGCGCGTTGCGTGGAGGGCTGCATAAACGGGCTATCCTTCTCCTTATAAAGACAACGAACATGATCAATGAACATAATACTCACTTTTCGGTTTCATCCTTCAGGTAATCCAAAACATAGATGTGACAATAGTCGATGTGACAGTCACGTTTTAAATCTAATACAAATTAAATTAAATTTATTTCACTCCATTAAAATTGAGACATTAAAAATTTGCATTTACCTTCCAAGGTTTGTTGAGGACCATCACTCATTTTCTCATAATCGGCCAATTCCTGAAAATTTATTTTCACATTGAATTAGTTAGCACGTTGCGTCTATACAGATCGTATTCTACAATGCTTTCTATCGCTATTTGCCACTGTTATTAATATTTAAGTATTTAAATTTTTTTTTTGTGGATTTGTAGATTTATAAGAAGAATCTCATCTGGGATAATATAATGACATCCCTTTGCCGCAGTCTCCACCAAAGAATTCATTTAAATAAGTCGGGTTATACTCTAAAAGTATTTCGTTTACGGGAAGCATCACTTTTTCTGTTTAATTCGAAAAGCTGCTGAAAGGTGACAAGTGATATGGAAAAAATACTTTATGCTTATTCGAAATTCGAAAAACTATTATAATAGGTGCTTGCAATAATTTTGGCAAACGTTTTACTCGAAGGAAGCATTTACTAAGAAAAATTGGTATAATACATATTAATCAAAATATTTTTCAGCATTTTTTAACAAATTGCTGGTAACATGGTGACACCGTGTCGAGAGAACTTATATTGGTTTGACAGCGATCCAATTATCGAAGCATTTTTGCACTTCTTCGACTTTGCGGAGCTACGTGCCAGCCAAACTGTGCTGCATCGTTTTGAAAAAACGATAATCAAAAGGCGCTATCTATAGTGATGACGCTGCGTGCGGCAGAGCTTCTCACTCGAGCCGCACCTGTACATCCTTGACAACAATTGCAATAAGCGGCAAAAATGGCGTGTTTAGTCAATCCTTATGGTAGCCATTTTAGCCGTTATTCCTGGTCTTTTTTTGCAATGTTGTTCAATTGATGTCGGTAAACATCTGCAGTAATAGTTGTATTTAGTTCAAGCAGCTCGTAACATACTACACCCATCATTTGCACAGCAAAACGGTATGGCCATGAATATAACGCTTCGGTGTCGGTATTAATGACTCTCTCAAACTAACCTAAGACTTTTTGAGCTTTAGAGTGTCGTAATACGTACACTTTTCATCGCCAGTTACAATACACCACGGAAGGCTCTTCTTTGTTTGCTTGGCAAATGAGAGTAATGAATGTCGAAAACGCATTTTTGAACCTTCCATGAGTAGCGCCTGCATACACTGAACAACTCATTCATACTAAATTCCCGAGGGTGTGAAGTTATATTTAAACATAACTAGCAAAGACAGAAACTATTTTTTTTTTTTTTTTGCAGACTCTGTAAAGCCGTTAACAGAAACCTATTGAACGAAGTCTCGGAGGGATTTAACTTAAAATACCAGTAAAATAGAACTTTTCGAGAATTTTTTTCCAAATTATTATAAACAAAAGATAACTTTATGTAAATTAATTCGAAAGGAGAACATTTTTACACTATGTCAAAGTTTGCGTAGCTACTGTGGCCAAACCATCCCCTGTGAAAAAATGTAACTATAATGAATCCTCTATTAATAGCCTTTCCAACGATGTGCAGGTTATATTAAGTTTTGCTCTGAGAACATTTTTATGGAACTTTGAATGTTTTGTTTATAATAATTTGCAAAAAAATTCTCAAAAAGTTCTATTTTACTTGTATTTTGAATTAAATCCCTCCGAGAATTCGTTTAACAGAATTCTGTTAACGGCTTTGACGACCCAAGAGGAGATGATTGATGTTCCCAGATTGTATTTCTACAGAAGTGCAGAGGGGGTCATTTACATCGAGTCATTTTTAATTAAAAATGGTATGAATCAACATCTAAAATAAAAAAAATAATTCATGTTGACATTTTTTCCCGTTTAATTTTTATTACAAATTCAAAAAAAACGCTTATTATTCGGGGACTACACATGACTATTTCCGTTTAAGTGATTGACATAACTGACTTTTAGGGAACGTACACCGACAATATCTTTGCGATTACTTCAGACAATTCCTTTAGACCATGGGAAAAATCTCAAGTAATGCATTATTCTCTTAAGGTCTCATTGTGAAAAAGGAAAAAGAGTTAAATTCATTATGATTCTCTTACAAGATTTTCAATGTCAGCTTAAATTTAAATATTCTTTGAGGCCCTTCTGTTCTCATAACAAATTGTTCTATTGTAGTTACAATGAACACATTACTGTATTCGAATGGATATCCACATACCAACATACAGGTGGTGTGTTGGTAAACTAATATTTTCAATTTGATATTTGATTTTACGCGTTTAATGTCATCACAATAACAAGGCCTTCATCGCATTCTTCCGTCTGGTGTCAAGTTGAATGCCTAACGAATTATATTTCAGCAAACAAACTACTAAGAAAACAATAACAAAGAGTCGACTGACTGAAGATAACAATAACATTTCTCATAATTCAATAGACGTACGTTATACGTCGCATTACTTTGTCATTTTTATCTGTAGAACTCGCTGGTCAAAATTAATGCAAGCACCTAATGCAAACCTAGCGAAGTATTGAAATCCACGGCGAGCAAGGCCAATTGTTCTGCCGCAACGTAATGTAATAGATCTGCTTAGTTCAATATATTGTAAAACATGTCTACGAACTGCTAACTACAGCAGACGATGCAAGGGAGCAAGTTATTATAGAGAGAATACGCAAAAAAATTTGACAAAGTGATTTATGAGCGTGAAAACGGTCTGCCAATTATCGCAAAATCCATTCAGGAAATGGCTTTGGTACTGAGATGTCACCCTTCCATTCCTCCATTTACGTGTATGCACAAGATTTTACTCCTTCTAAAAAACACTTGTTTTTAATCAATATCGCGTAATGTATCGGTCAATAAAATTGGAGGCCAATTAAAAAAAAATTTCTGAACTCGCAAAACTCGAGCTCGAATCGCGAATCACTTCTGCTTCTGTATTATTTTAAGCCTCACCCTTTGCGTATCCGTTTCCGTAATGACACAATCAATTGACTAAAATCTCTTTCTCAGAAGCATCTTGTTGGGATTTGCAAACAGATAATAGCCGCGGGGGGCGTGACATGGGGAATACATTAGAAGGACTCGGCATTCAAACTTCAACTCATTCAAGTTTTACAGTCCTCAGTAACAAGTTCATGTTTTTGTTTGACTGAAGAATGCTTCCTCATACCCAAATATCTTTAGGAGGTCTCTAGCAATTTCACTTTTCGATTGCCACGGATAATTTTCTGGATTTTTTTTGTAGTTTTTGGTGTAACTGCGTCCGTTGGGTGTCCACTGCGTTTAGCATCACACTCGCTTCTACAACGCTTAAGATCAAGAAAAGCGGCGACGAAGTATCGTCATAACACTGAATTCGATCTTTTATGTGTATGAAAGTCACGTATGTGTATGAAAGTAAGAAATTGGGACTTTTCTATTAATTTGGAAATATCTTAAAAACGTAGCGGCACTAAAATATTGAGGGCTGGTATTTTCTAAAAATAATGTGGAATGTTTGTTAGAGACGACATTTACATGTCACTCTCGGTATTTATTGATCGCTGGGTTAACGTCTTTTAATAAGGTTCCAACTTGTATTAAAAAGAAAGAAAAGTCCCTTTTTTGAGACGGAATTTACAAGCTCCCATATAAACGTACAATGTAGGGTGAAATGGGGGACAAAGTTTTGCAAGCAAAATCTTTATATCCATCACCGAAGGATGAGGGGTGCATTCATTTTGCCAACACGTTTGCAACATCCGGACGGCAGCGTCAGAGATCCCACAAATTATAAATGTTCGTGATCGGCCTCAAATTTTGAGTTGATTTAAGCATGTCGCCCTGCCCACCTGGTTGTCTATATAAAATCTGCTGAGAACATTCTCGCGCCCGCAAAACGAAATATGCGATTTCAAATTTGCAGAAACATTCAAATCAGGTCGGCATTGAAAATAAACCAAATCGATCGAAGGACACGGGTGCAGCACCACGTAAACTAAGAACACTTTCGTTTTTTAAAAAGGAATAAGAAATTACTCATAAACTACAACAGATAAATCTGCAAAGATTTAAAGGTATATTTTATGGACGATGCTATGGTACCCGCCCAAAAATGGGTATAATTGACCACGAGAATCGAAATTTCATTCAAAAACCCCACAACGTATATAACTTCTTTGCCGGTTTCAAATTCGGAATACACCTAAGCGTGTCCATCTGTTTGTGTACCCGTCTGTTCGTCTACACAACTGTATAACACAGTAGTATATAGTAGTATCGCTGACCAATTTTCAAAAGATTTTAAAGATGACCCACATCAGTCAAACGACACGCCTAGAACTTATAGTAAGTACAACATATACACAACATAATTTTGCACTTTTATTGTGGAAGTAGAGAAAATCAATCGCGCCCAGTTAGTGTTATAAAGTATGGAAATTTATTTATTTTCCTCTTTTTTAGTTTTGATAACAGCGATGAATATAAAAGATTTGGTCACGACCCAATATAATTTTCTCACCTCTTTTGAATAGACGCGTTCTGAACGCGTGCTAGAAAGAAGTTTGAAAGAACTTACAAACTATAGACAAGTTCATAAACAAAGGACTTACGATATTGGAAAGATTATGGCTCTGCTAAGAAACATTAGTAACAACTGAGGGAAATTCGTCAAAAATAGAAAGTCGTTCATTTCAAAGGCTTGAAAAGTTCTTGATTACATGAAGTGTTAGTTAAGAGCGAAAGACAAGCAATTTTGTTAATTTTTTTCAGCTTGAACTTACTTGAATCATTTCGTGAACTGCAAACATATCTTCTTTCTCGCCTCGTCTAAACTTAAATCTGCCATGACTTGTCATTTTAATATTCATACAAACTGTTATGTATTTTTACGTAGAAAGCATATATAAACATAGCTGAGAAGGCGGCGCTACTGAACAAATGCAACAAATTCAGTAATATTTGAAATTATCACTGTTCATATAGACCGATAAATGTGATCAATTCGACATAAATTCTTGTAAAATTATGATTTGTTATCTATATGCCAGTGTTGACAACTAAAGAACTTCCATCTGTTATCAGTTGCGTAAATTCACGTCGATCATTTACAGCTATTAATATAAACGTTATTAAAAGCTTTACCTTAACTACTAAAATAAGTAAGTAAGTTATATTCGGTCGTGACCGAATCTTTTATACCCATCACCATTATCATAAAAGGGATAAAAAAAGTAAAAGAAGTTTTCATGCTCTAAAATATGGAGTGGGCGCGGCTGATTTTTCCTATTACTAAAATGAAACTTTTTGTGGCATAAGCTTGTGGGCGGTGTAAGCGTGTCCTTTGAAAAATTTAGATCAATTTCAAATTCTTTTGCAAATTTGTAGGCGATATCTTCATTTTCGCTAATGAGGAGAATATTTACCACAGATACTGCACAGTTAGGCAGAATGACCGATGGACGGACGAACAGATACCATGATTATGTGCATTCCGAATTTGAAATTGATCAAAAATTTGTATACATTATGGGACTTTTGAAGCTTGTTGCTACGCGTTAAAAAGGTATTGGCAAAACAATTAAATTTTGATGCACTATTATACTGGGTAGGCGTGATTAGTTTTTTTCAAAAATGAAAAAAAACCGCCCATGGAATACGCGTTCAAATTTTTGTACGTTTATTTCCGATTGTTTATGAGTAATGAGCAAAAAGCCACATTTTTTTCCTTTTGAAAAACAGATTTGTTCTCAGTTTGCGTGGTGCTGCACGCGTGTCCTTCGACCGATTTGGCTCATCTCCAATACCAACCTGTGTGCAAGAACTTCCAGTACTTCTGCCTAATTTGAAATCGATAACTTTCTTTTTGCGGCCAGAAGAATGTTTATAACAGTCATTAAATAGACGGACAAGCAGACATGCTTAAATCAGTTTAGAAGTTGATGCTGATCAAGAATATATATACTTTGCAGGATCTCTGATGCTGCCTTCTTGGAGTTGCAAGTGAATATACCACTCATGCTTCGGCGGTGTGTATAAACATGCTGAGAACAATTAAAGAAGGATTACCAAAACCTATAATCATATTTCTTAAATAAGTCCAAGGAAAAGTGCAATGGAAGAAATATAACACGTGAACACATCAAGCCGTATAAAAAGTCGTTCGGAAAACACAAACCTGCACCAAAAACCTATAATGCAAACGTTAAACAAATAAGAACGTTATAGCGGACTAAGCCACCCCTAGGCTAAGTAGACACCTTATATCACGTCGCCTCGTACAGTTATTCACTCGTTTTGGGAATAATACAAAAAAAATTGCACATTATTTTTATGTAAAGGTATATTACAATGTGATCCAAATTTAGAAAACTTTATTTTCTTCCAAAAATTTCATATCTTTACACTTTCCGTCATAAAAAGCTAGAAAATAGACATTCTCTTCATATAAAGATTTGCTTTTCTTGGTAACCACTATATATATTGGAGTCTAAAATAAAAACCTATGTGATCCTAGTTCCCTACAGTTAACTTTTGTGCGAAATTGCTACTATGGTCCAATTTCCATCATAAAATATTAATATTTTTTGTGAAAAGCTTACTGTTCATGAGGAGTTAAATGTGGAATGGTGCCTAAGAGTGGACCGATGTGATTAAATTTTGGTCCATCTAATTTTTATGTTAAATTACTACTAAGGACGAATTTTCATTATAAAACAATAAACCAGTGAAAAACCGTCATTCACGCCGTCCAGGAAGCAAGCCCACCTCGCAGTTTCAGAATAAGGCCATTTATATGACAAGTTCTTGCCTCTGACTATGGTGAAGCCTATGTAACACCTCCTAGTCCTATCAACACCAACTTCTGCTTGATGTTGCCTACATCCGCACAAGCTTCATATATCTTTGCGACAAACGTAAAAGAAAAATGTTGTTTTCAGTTTGATCCAAATCTCTTAATTCCCATTATAGGAGCATGGGAACAATATTTGATCTCAAATTAAACGGGAGCTACATGATCTTTTTCTATCGCACATATACGATATAGTAAACTGTACTGTATACATAAAGTATTTACATCAACCTGTAAATTGATTTAAGCATGACCGTCCGTCCGTCTGCGTAATATCTGCTGTACACATTCTCCTGGCCGCCAAAAACAAATTATCGACTTCAAATTTGGCAGAAACATTGAAAGTTCTTCCAAGTAAACTGAGAGCACTTCTGTTGTTTCAAAGGAATAAAAAATTGGTGTTTTGCTCATTATTCGTAGATAAATGAACTAAAATTTGAACGCGATGGGCGATATGGACGATTCTGTAACAACTGTACGAAAATGGATTACGCCTATCCAACAATTTCTTTAATACTTATTTAACGCGCAGAAACAATGCCCAAAATTCTCATAAGGTATACACATTTTTCGCAAATTTCATATTTGGGATGCAACTAAGCATGTCCACCTGTTCATCTGTCCATCGGTTTATCTGCCCAATGGAGCAGTATCTGTAGTAAACATGCTCCCATTAGCGAAAATGAAGATATCGCCTACAAATTGGCAAAAGAAGGCAGGCCTACAACCCCCACAGACCTATATGACAAAAACTTTTATTTTGAAAATAGAAAAAAACAATCGCGCCCACTCCGTATTATGTATGAAGCATGAAAATTTAGTGCTTTTACTTTCTTTGTATTTTTCAGAATAATGATGACGGGTATAAAAGATTTAGCCGCGATCGAATATATTATTATTATTGTTATTATTACTATTATTATTATAAATTTAGCCAGAGAATAAATTCTAAGATTAAAGACTTAAAGCATTAGCATCTAAGGCTTTCGGCTTTATTAAAAACTCTATTCTCACTTGAGATTTGAACCCACGACTATTGAAGTTGCTAGTCGGGACTCTTGCCTACTCGACCACTCAGGCGGATTTTGCGATCGAATGTAATTTTCTTAATTGTTATATGTACTTGTTTAACATCTACCTAACTATTAAACATCTATAGGTGTTTTTCAAGTCCTGTTCAATTACTATGATATTGTATTCGCTACTCTCATCTATGTACTCGGTTCAATTACTATGATATTGTATTCGCAACTCTCATCTATGTACTCGGCTATGCGAAGTCCAGATTAGACATACGTGGTTTGTGAAAATCGAATGTAGCCGCTTTCTTGAATTTTATCCCTTCTGTATACACTAAATATCATATATTTTTCCACATTCTCATAATTCGTTAAAGATACTGCGAAGAGTCTGCAGTAGTGTTCACTAGCTGTAGCTTTGAAATGTTTTTGTTGCTTTTTTGAGTTAAACCAAAAGCAAATGAAGAGTTGCTTGATGTTTACTGTTAATAGTTCATAGGTTATATTTTAAAGCTTGCAAATGTATCCACTTCAGTAACAAATGCATTGAAAAAGTGCGGTTGCAATTATAGTTAATTTCTTTTCTTTTTTTTTTTACGTAAGTGTGAAATGATAAAAGTTTATTTGTAAAAGTTTGAAAAATAGCACATTGATGCAGCAAGGAATCCGCTCTTGTAAGCACACCGTCAATGTAAAATTAAGAAAAAAATTATGGAAAATTTGATGTAAATTTAATAAAATCGATTGCGCGTATTTCAGTTTTATATATCAATTATCTCATCTAACTTTTCATTTATCGATCCTAAGATTGAGAGATATGAAGTCCACGCACCACGATATTAATTATCACTATAAGTATTATGCATCTCTCCCGAAGGAATAACTACAAATGGGAACTGGGGCCAGGTGCAATCGATATTTTTCTTAAACTTTTCTTCTTGCTTCTAAAATTTAGGTGACCGTTGTTTGGCTACAACTCAAAATGAATGATTCCGTTCATCAAATGGTTTATATTGGCTAAAATGTCATTCAAGGCGGGTACATCCCCTACATTTCCATTGCCTGAAAGAGAAGTTTTATAAGGTTTTTCTTTTGAGACGTGACCGGATGCTGTAGACGTCCGAAGTATCACATTAACAATCGGATAAGTAGCCGAGTAGACAACGATTGCGATTACCAAATCAGGACATGCGAGTTTAGGTCTCAAGAGCACTAGAGTCTACGTTGGTCGCATTTACAATGAGTACTCAATCAGCGAGAGGCTTAGCATCTACCAATTGGATGTACACCCAATAGATTGCGGCCATAATCTGCCCATTGCAATCTTCTTCGCTTTTCCCTGACCTATTCCTTTGATTAATTTGCTAACCACCAATTTTCATCGTAAACTATAAACAAATAGTCGTTTTGCACATACAAAGCCTTATTTCAGATTGTAGTCCTCGTGCGGATTGGGATCCAAAAAAAAGACCTATGCAATTAGAGAGATTAATTTTTACATCAAATTATTGTTATGAACGAATGTTCCTCAAGAAGTACTGAAAACTATGGCTTTTTATCGTATAGAGATTCAAACACCTTAGGAGCGATTATATGGCAAAAAATTGTCCCGATCGATCGAAGATTTCCACACCCGTTTAGAATGCCTGAACACTATTACAAGACGATTTTTGCGTCAAAATTCTCAAAGTTGCACTGTTTTTTCATACAATAAATTATCAACATAAGCCGTTATATAGGCGGTGGTTGAAAATTTTCGTAACGTTTGATTTCAATTTTATAAATCTCATTCAATTTCAATCACAATTCGCAATAAGTACCAGAGATGAACATTTAATTTTTTTCTAAATAAAATAAAACTCTTGGCAACTCTTACGTATTACATCTCTGTGTACGATGCTGGATTGCTTTAATCTGTAAACCGGCTATTTTCTTCATTTCTAACGGGTTCGTAGAATTTCTCTGCAATGTGTGATATTGAATTATCCTTAACACAGTTTATTTTTAGATTCCATTGCTAAAAATCTTAGAAGGCGATTTAAAAATTCGGTTTATTATATTTCTTTGTTTTACTTTTATTTTAAAGAAAAGTGCCAGCATCCATCCGCTCTTACAATTTCTATAGTTTACTATTAAACGAACCGTCCTTATCAAGTACAACACATAAACAAACAATCTAATATTAACAAAAATGGCATTTAAGGTATGTATGTGTGTACGAAGTAATTACTTTTCGAAGTATTAACGCATTGAAAGCAATTTACTTGCAGCCTATAGATAGCAAACGCGATGAATATCGCAGATATTTGGAGCGTGGCGGCGTTATTGAATCTCTAACTAAAGTGTTTGTTAACTTACTCAAAGAACGTCCAGATAATCCCACCGAGTATTTGGCCCAAAATTTGGGTGTTGTTCGGCTACAAGCCGACAATGTCGCTTATTTGCAAAATGAGTTGGAGCAAGCACAAAATGAAATACAACGTCTTACTGATATTATACGTAGCATCGATCCAGAACTTTTAAATGAAAATACAAATAATGCGGCTTTCGAAGTTGAAGTCGGTTTAAACGGTAACAATGAACATTTAGATGAGGAACAGGATTACGAAGGTGCATCGGGTCCGTTACCAGCAGATCGTGACGACATTGAAATGAAAGAAGTCCAAGAATCCTTCACTAATGTGCACATAAATGAGTCATCATCGGCAGAAGCTACGGCTGTATCAAGTACCAATACTGCTCAATGAAAAGTATACACACAATCGCAATAAGCTATTTTAATCACACCTTTCAAATACGATTTTTCTGCTATGTATGTTTCTATTTCAAATTAAATAAAAGAAAAACTCCCCATGAAGTAAATAAGTTTTTTTTTGTCTTCGCTACTAGTGATTAAGAGGAATTTAGGCTGATTAGCAAAAATTCCCAAGCGCGCATAGGAATTTTCGTTATTCCGAAGAAATACTTTTTTCAATTTTATTTTCATCGCTTCAGATTTTTTGCGAACCATTTCAATTTTGCTAAATTGTAAACTGAACTGAAAAGTCCTAATGAAAGTCTTGGTTTTACTCGCGAAATCCCTTGTACTGTTAAAATTTAAGTTTGTTATTAAAGACCCCACTATTGGTCACATATTTTAGCCCGAAGATACTGCAAATTAAGTTTTGTTAGCATACAAAGTAATTGCTGGAAGAGTTCGAATAAAAGCCAAAAAGTTGACGAGACCCATTATCAATTCTCCAAAATTTGGAGATTTTCCGTGAAAATAGTGGCTTCCTTCTTTAACTAATTGGAAATATACTTGTCATTGCCTATATGCGTATTTGGTGACATTAAAATCCTGAATAGATTTTATAAGATCTATCTGACCGTTTGATTTTAGAAAGGATTCTTTTTTGCATATACGGAGTGACGTAAGATTCAAAAATGCAATGCGGGTCTTTTGCTCTAACCCGCAGATTAAGCTGAAATTATGTGCTTTGCACTGGATATTTAACATAGGCCTTAAGGAGAATACGGCCAACAGAATTTTCTGATAAGGCACAAGACTTCTGATATTCGCGCCAAGATGTCCATGTACTTTTTCCCATTCGTAGACTTACCATGCTCCCCATAGCTTTCAGCGCTTTACTTTTTTCGTATTCGTATTCTCCATTTTAAACCTCCTGCATTGTATTCTTATTGTATCTATTTCTCTTGCAGCAAGCAACGTGTAATATAAAAGAGGAGTAAATTTGGTCAGCTCAACCTTAGGCAAATAACAGTTATACAGATTATTTTTGTATTCTTCTCGGGAAATTTAAGTTCTCAAAAATATTCATTTCATAAAATTTGATAACTTTGACGTTATGGGACCTTGTTAAATCTCATTTTTTTCCACTTACTTTCTCATGGGCTTAAGAAGACCTTTCGTTTTAACAACTGAAACAAACGCTTTTTTATTTCCAGCGTTTTTAATAATGATCCATTTATCAAGGAACCTTTAATCAGTCTAATAAATGCTTAGCAATACTTTTTCGTTTTTTGCATTATTTATAGAATTATTTTTTTACGTACCCTTACGCCACCAAATACATTTAATTTCCTCTAAAATAGATGGTTCTTGTTTTCTGTATATATTTTTTTTTTTCTTTTAATTTAACACAAGTCTTAAAAGAAGAGTTGTTCCATTTTAATACATTTTATGTATGTATCAGCTTTTTTTTTCCTTTTTATTGTTACTAATAATACAAAGAATATTTCTTCTTCTGGTTTATATTAATAGAGATTTTGAATAGTTTTCATAATATATTTTTTAATTTTCATTGTGGTTTTGTTGGATTCCACTTTTCTTTTTTGTTTTCTCATTTTATGATCTGATTTGTTTGTTTGTGTTTAATTTAAATGTATATAAAACACATCTTAATGATAAGTTTTTAGTTTACATTATAGAAAAAGTTTTTTCGAAAATTTGTTGTTTTTAGAAGTGTGTGTGTGGTTCATGCAATCGAGCAAGCAAAAAAAAAAAAAAAAGACAAAGAAATGGAGTTTGCAAATAAGGGGTGGGGAGCCGGACCGGAGGAGTATAAGTTTATATAGTAAACCTAAAGAACAAAATATATAGACTTCACGCGATACAATATCAGGACATTTAGAGCAATTGCTTATATCGTTATCTCGTATAAAACCAAAATAATTAACAAAACAAAGACTTCGCTGTAAAAAAAAGAACTGAATATTTGGACTAATTATTACTTGTTTGCCGGGAGAATACCAAAAGAGGACACAAAATAAATAAGAAGAGCTTCAAACAATTCTACTGCTTAAGAAGTGAATGCCTTAAAAACCGCCAATAAGCTTTGGACTTGAATTAGTGGTTTAATCACTAAGTGTTTGATGCTTTCTTCACACATTTCTTAACTTAAATTTTACAATTCAAAGCGTTAATGCCTACAATTAACCGAGACGAAAACTTGGGCACTTCACTAATCTCGTTTTGATTACGCGTTATAAACTGTTTGGTATAGTCATTAATCTCAGGCTAATTTTTCCATTCCTTATTTTGTTGTTATTTTGTTTGCTTTAGTCATCCCTTGTAGTCAATAAAATGAATGCCGTTTACTATGCTTTTTTTTAATGAAAAATAACGCGTTATGGATTATGGTGAAATTTGCAGAATAAGGGCGTGAATGTTCACAATGTGGGCAATTGAAGGATGAAAAAAATTTTTTTAATTTAACGAAATTATTTTACTTTTTACGCTTGTCTGCCGGTTTCAAAATTTGGAAAGAACACATCAGAGTGTCATCAACCGACATCATCGCACCGGCATTGTCGAACTCTCCGCAATAGTTTGGTGCAGAAAATAACGTAACCAATTGTCGTTTGGCGAAAAATTCATAGCCGTCTTCAACGACCTGATGAGCACGACAAATTAAATCGAACTCATGTTTTTGCAAAAATTTGCCAACAACTTCAGCGCCGAAGGTAAAGCTAACACCGCGATCATTTTCACCCCAGCCCATAGTGTCTTTATCTGGATCGGACCATAATAAATCGCATAACAAACCCTGATCTGGCACATCAGTTGGGCGCATAATGCGGCGTATTTGCTCCATAGATGTCAGATCTGGACTTAGGCCGCCGTGACAGCAAAAGATCTTCTCATCTACAATTGCGGCCACTGGCAAACAATTGAAACAATCTGTAAATGTTTTCCATAATTTAATGGTGTAGCGACGTTTGCATTCATCATAGAAGCCATAGATGCGATTGATGCTAGCGCATTCATGATTGCCACGCAATAAGAAGAAATTCTCCGAATACTTGATCTTATAGGCCAAGAGCAGACATATCGTCTCTAGCGATTGTTTGCCGCGATCCACGTAATCACCCAAAAACAAGTAATTCGATTCCGGTGGAAAACCACCATACTCGAATAAACGCAGCAGATCATAGTACTGACCATGAATGTCACCACAGATTTTTAATGGCGCTTCCAATTCTAATAGTATCGGCTGAGATAAGAAAATCTCGCGAGACTTCAAGCACAGGCCACGTATTTCACTCTCTGATAATTGCACATTTTTACCTGGCCTGGCTCCACGTACTTCCAGCAACCGCGATATGATGCTGTCAATATTTATTATGTCAGCCATATTTTTTCTTTTGTTCTGTTTGCGTTATATATCGAGCGTTGTTGGTTGGTTGGTCGGTTAGTCGTTCGATTGGTTGATTAAATGGTGGGGTTTGTCGATTCAACTTGCAATTTATTTACGTCACTCGAACGCGATTCGCCTTCGATAAATATGTGCTTTTTGGATTTACAGTTTTTATATTTTCCGAAAATTGTATATGTTCGTCTAGTTTTTCGTATTTTTTTTTAATATTTTCTAAGACTTTTCACGATAAGGCGAATTCGAAGCATAAACTAGTTTGTGTTTCGACGAACGAACGAGCATATGTAAAGTGTAACCAACTTTTAATAAAAAGATTTTCTCGTGCATCGGGTTTACCGTAATCCTATCCTCAAATTCAATGCTCATGTTGCGTTTTGGATTTAACTACATTTTTGCGTTTTTGCAGAAAAAAGAATGTTGATAGCATTCGAAGCTAATTAATAAGAATTTATGACCAATTCAAATAAATTGATTGGAATTGGATTAGGTTTTGATTTATTAAATTCTTTAAAATGTCTGCAACAATAAAGTTAGGAAAAACTACAATTAAAAGAAATGATGGTAATGTTTATATTATAGCGGAAATAGGACAAAATCATCAAGGAAATTTGGAAACGGCCAAGCAAATGATATTGGAAGCAAAGGTAAAATAAAAAAATAGCTCCGTTATGAATAAAAAGAAAAAAAGAAATGATTCCTGGTATTCCCATTTCTCTTGTTGAACGATAATCTCATCTATCAATCAGCAATCGTATTGAAAAGTTTTTTTATTAAATTGATAAAAACCGTGGTGCAACTAAATTGTTGCGTGGTGGAATGGAAGCAAAGGTAAATAAAGACGAATAAATAAGGCATGCTTGGTTTGAGGTCGAATTGGACTGGAAATGCAATGGGAACAGTAGAACGTATTGAAATAAAATTTAAAATGAATTCGGTAATAAATTTGTGAATTGAAAAAATTTATAAAAAAAATTAATTATGGCGCTTTTTTGCCAATTTTTCTTGTCAAATTGGTAGTACGAGTTATGTTAACAATAAATAAAAATGTTGTTCCGAAAGTGACATTAATACATGTCTTTCTAAAAATCATCTTAAAAAGCGGAATTGCGTCTTATGGTCCGAAAAAAACGATAATAAACGGAGTTGCACTTGTGCAAGATGTGTGATCAAACAATAAATAACAAAATCTTCACTTTCCATCTTTAAACTATTTTTGGCTTGTTTACCAACAAATAAATATGAAAATCTAAATTTTATCCCAATTGTTACAAATTCAAATCGCCAAGCATTACCTCGAACAATTTACGTGTATATGATGTTCCCGTATATTTTGCGCGTAATATGCAAATATTTTTAAACATATACGCAGGAATCTGAATTTGAATAATGGCAATATTAATTTAAGAGAAAAGTGATTAAAGTTAGATATAAATTAAATCACCTTTGGTTGCCATTTCTTTTAATTTCGCCATATAAATCCATTAAGATGCGATTAACCCGCGTTCGCTCCAGCACTCGAAATATTTTGTTTAAATTCTCTTCAGCACTCATACGAATTATCGAATCCAAATATTCACAAAACAATAGCTCGGTAACAGTCCTCATACAAATCATAGCTTTTTGTTTGAGTCTTTTCAACGATATTAATCAAGCCTTTTCTTTTTTTTTTAGATAACTATTTAGCTCGCAAGCGAAAATTAAATTTTTCATACGTGTCTCATGCATTAAAATACTTGAACCTTATGGTAAACAAAAGCAGCGTGCACGCGAGAACATGAAGCGTGATCTATACAGAAATCATTCATTTGTGCATTCCGTCCAAACAAATAGCATTTCCTTTCGTCAACCATCAGTTTTTGTACCAATTTATCTTCTTTAAGAACGTCAAAATGATTTTTCATTTGCTTAAAGCACTTAAGAAAACCGGACAGATGCTAAATTTGACGCATCCATTCATTTTTTTTTTCACGGTTTTCCACACCACCTTTGAGGTACCGTGCCAGGTGCGTTGCCAATTGTTTCAAATGGCTGGCTCCCCTTTAGGCCTACACCATTATATACTTGTTATAAAACTATAATAATATTTACAATATTAACGATAAATAAACAAAATCTTCATTTATACATAATATACGTACATAATACATAAACACATAAAACGTATAAATATATATGATCTAAATAAAAAGTAAATACGATGGCTGCTGATCTTGATCTGCAAAAGAAAAATAATATAATTACTAAATTTTATACATAAAGCTGATCGAGAACTTACCGTTGGCCTATGGCAGTCTTTCATATATTTATGAATTGTCCGGCAGTTGTTTGGAGAATGATGATACGTTACAAACCGGCTTCTTTAGCCAGTTTTCGCCGCGTAGCGCCAATTTTATAGCATAACCCAGCAGGTTTCTTCGGTGCTCTACTCCATTTGGGCAGCATCCTTCCGTTTTGAAGAATCGCAGTTTTTTTAAGGCGGTTACTTGGATATCCTTCCCAAGATTTTTGTCAGGCATGCATTCTTCGCAAATTGCGTACACCATCTTATAAACGGATTTTTTTGAACGTTTTCTTTCAAAAACTCCGCTTTAAGATATTTGTACGATAATATGTTGTTATCGTACTTGTTTTTTGTCACAATTCTGCCGCGTACTCCCTTGCATGCGCTTCTTTTTGTTATTGTAAATTCATTAAAGCATGCCTGACACTTCATCCCTTATGTATTTTCCTACAGCATACCCTGTCATCACTCTGAAGTATCTGGTATGCTGTAACGTTCGTCGGCGAGCTGTTACATTTTTGTATTTTGCGCCATCCAGGTGGAGTGGCCGAAACTCTTGCTCGGCCTGTTTTTGGATTCGGTAATCCAATGTTTCGACGAGGTCGTAGTCGCCGATGGTTCCATCTTGTTGCCTCCAATATTCTCTTTGTTTCGCCATTAATCGCTGCACCAGGACTTCGAATTCGTGTTCCGTTCTTCTTCTCTTCCTGTAAGTCGGAGCCATATTGCAGATAAATCTTTCTATTATATCTTGGCTTACCCTGTACCCTGCAATTGAAATTTCAGGGTAAGCCCGTAGTAATTTGTCAACAATTTTGATAAAGTTGAGTATCGTGAATCTTGTCTCGACGGACAACAGATTTGCTGTTAAATACTTATTAAAGTATTTGTACGCTTCTTTTAATGTGCCTTTCAGGTGTGGCCAAGTGGACGTGTTGATGGTCTTCCTACGGAAGACGTTCACAAATCTTGTTGCCGCCTTTATAAATTTGTAAGTCCGTTCCACTATCGGACCTTTGATTACATCAGTGTTCATCGCCGTTTTTATGAACGCTGGCGTCACGTCGGCGTAATAGGCGATGTATTCGGGGAAATCCAGAGGATGCACGACCGTTGGTACTACACCTCTATTTATCCAATATTCGCATGCTTCTTTGTTCATGTTTTCGAAATAGCGCTTTTTTAAATTTGCTGTTATATTGCAGTCGAATTGCTTGCCTTCTTTCATAAGCCTAAAGAAGCTTTTTGCGAGGTGGATGTAATCGTACATCAGGCGGATTTTAATAATACGTCCTTCTTTGGTTTTTTTCCGATAGATGCCATTATTGAACGATTCCATCATCTTTCTGTTTCGACTGCCTCGGTCGCTAACCACTGCTTTAACGTCGAGTCCTATGTCCGCCGCCAAGTCAATATAATCATCTAATAATTGTAATGTTAATCTTGAGCCTTTTTGTGTACTTTATGATGGGATATATGCCGAGTAGCATATTGAACGGTGTTAATATGCTGCGTACTCCTATTATATATACCGTCCTGTATATTTTTTCTTTTTCTCTGTCAGCATCAGCAATCATTCTAATTTATGATGCTTCTAATGAATTGTAGATAGCAGCGAAAATCCTTTGGCAGTCTTTATAAGAATGAGATTAATTTCCAGATGACTGAAAAAATTTAGTGAAATTTCATTTCTTATATTAACCTTATAGAGAATTGGATGCGATTGCGTTAAATTTCAAAAATCATGCCTTGAGGCAAAATTTACTGCCGCGGCTTTGCAACGGCAATACGAGGATCCTCACTCCTGGGGAAAAACTTATGGAGAACATAAAATGCATTTAGAATTCTCAATAGCACAATACCAAACATTGAAAGAACTGTGTGAGAGGATTGGTTTAGATTTTACAGCATCGGCAATGGATGAGGTGACAAAAGGGCCGTTTAACACAATTTTGTTAATATGTAATAGTTTGTTTTACAGATCTCATTGTATCAGCTAGATGCCTTGGATGTTCCGTTTATAAAAATTGGTTCTGGAGACGCTAACAACTTTCCATTATTAAAAAAAGCGGCGCAATTAAAACGACCGTTGATTATCTCTACGGGTATGCAAAATATGAAAACAATTAACCGTATAGTAGAAATAATGAGAGAAAATAACAAATACGACTACGCGTTATTGCATTGTATTTCTGCATATCCGACTCAGCCACAAGATTGCCGATTGCGGATGATAACTTTATTTAAACAAAAATTTCCGGATATATTAATTGGTTATTCGGGACATGAGCTAGGAGCCGAAATATCGAAAGCTGCTATAAACCTGGGGGCTAGCATTCTAGAGAGACATTTCACTTTAAATAAAAAGCAAAAGGGTTCAGATCATCAATGCTCACTGGAACCCCAGGAAATGGAACAACTTGTTTATTATATAAGGAGCCGCAAAAGTTCTGGATTTATTTTAAACGATCTACACGATAATGAAGAGCTCATGGCTGCCTTAAATCCGATCGAGGAGAGACGCCTGTTTCCTTGCGAATTTAAATGTCATTCAAAATTAGGTAAATCTTTGGTGGCAGCGCGGTATATATCAGCTGAAGAAATACTTGATGAAACTGACATTTTAATAAAAGTTAGCGAGCCCAGCGGAATTTCCGCCGATGAATATTACAATGTTATCGGTGCGCAGATGAACGAGAACATATACCAAGATTCTCCTTTATTATGGAGGCATATAAAAAAGTAAATCAAAAAATTCGGAATAATTCTATTTAATAAATACTCATCCATTAATTAAGGAACAAGACATTTTCTTTATGTTTTTTCTTTATTCTCCTTGTTCATCATCTTCCATTACGTTATCGTTCTCAACAGATTCCATGTCTTCGACACCTTCTTCATCTTTTTTATCGATTGGTTTTTCGTAAACCGGTTCCAATGGGGACACGACAACGCCGTTCCATACAGACATTTGGCGTACAATATCTATACTACCCTCCATGCCGAGGATATGTTTATAGCCACCGTGAGCCAAAACGCGTAACAAAGTTTGAGCAGTCGAACAGCATGCATCTTGTTGCTCTAAAGTCATAGCAGTGTGTACCCGATTGTGACCAGGTTCACAAGGATCCGTAATACCAGCTGAACCAGGCAAAAATAAGCCGGCCGATAAAAGTTGGAATACTCTCCGGAAAGCAAGATTAATTGGAAGAGCCTGCCTAGACGGGTTATTCATAATAGTTAAATGGGCCATCAGATCGAGCATCCACGGTGATAAGGGCGCGAAAGCCTCAAAACGTTTCGTAAGATCTTTCAAAATGCGTATAAGCACCTTAATTGAAGAATGATGGGCATTTTCTTCAAACCAACGAGTATGACGGATTGCTGCCAAGTGAGCTTGCATTATTTTAGAATCGAGATGTATATCAGCTTCTAACTTTCTCATGTTTTGTGGCAATGTTGTTATAAGTATACGTACTTTGGCCTGAGAATTTGATATTTCGAAACCGCGATCACTGGTGACGGTAGTGATTTGATCGGCTTTCGTAAGCACTTCAGTTTTCATAGCATTTTTAAGATCAGCTTCAACCTTTTTAGCTAAAGCATCACAAGCCTCCTTCGTCGGCAAAGTTTTCAATATAACTACAACATCAGCCACATTGTGCCCAGTAAGCATTGTCCCCTTTTTGAATGAGCCAACTTGCCGCACTTCTTCCAATTGCTAGGGGACAAAAATTGCAATAAATAAGTTTTCCTTTGGTTTGTAGAAGAAGAAACTTACGCATGTATTAAAATCGCCGGGGGCTACAACAAGGTTATCCAATACTGATTGTACCTTACTCACCAAGTTTCCGACAGAGGTTTGTTCAGGTGGAGTCGGACTCAAGTCTTGATTTCTTTTAAGCAATGCCTGATATTTCAGAGAAACAACTTTTTACAAAAGCTTGTTCTTTTAGGAAACTTAACTTACCGCGGTTAATGCAGCGTCATCTACGGCTGGCGATACTTTTGGAAAAAGAACTTCAGCAAGAGTTAAGTCGAAAGGGTGTCGTGGTACAAAAGTTTTCTTGAATGGCGACCTAATAGGTCCTCGCATAGGACGCCCGCCGCGTATACCACCTCGTACCATTTTAATTTTATTTCACTTTTACAACTTTCACGCCACAAATCTGTTTTTAGCAGACGAGCCGTTTGCTTTGCTTAGTAAATAATCGATTTTCGCGTTAGTTATTGCCAGAGTAAAATTTTATTGTGTATTTCGTTGCATCTCAATTTTTAAGCATTTTTAAGTAAAGACAATTTTTATCTAGGGTTACCGATTGCATAACGTTATCCCCGAAAGAAAATTACTGTTAAATACCTTCATTTCCGTTTCAACAGATCAACAAAGCTTGGAAAGAAAATCATTCTTAATTTTATTAAGTTGAAATAATTTGATGTATTAATAAGTCAAAGTGTTTTACGTCATAATAATTAAAATATGTTGATGCTGCTACATACTGGCGATTTTTTTAAAAATCTTTTGGTTCGTAAATAGCTTTTTGTGGAGAAATAAATATCGATTTTTTTTGGTCATTTCTATATTTCGATTTCCTGTATTTTATAAAATACATACACAATATAGGCACAATGCTCTCAATGGAACCGCCACCACATCAGGGCATTTATGCACCATTGAGTCAGATAATGACCGATTCCGAGTCCGAGGAAGAAATTCATAATTTAATAAAATACCAAAAATTCCATCATTATTATCACTATTATCCTCAACAACTACAACAGCAGCAACAACAGCAACAGTCACACGAACAACAGCAACAAAACCAGCAGCAAGTTAATAATAGTGAACAAAATCAATGGTTACAAGGCTCGAATATACATGGAAGAAACCGGCCTAATCCACCTAATACTCTGAATTTGCAAATCAGCAAAGTAGAAAACCAGCGAAACCTAGAAGTCGAGCATAACAGTAATTTCGAAAAGTTACACCAAATTGAAGCCATCTTAGGTTGGAAATATTAAATTTGTCTAAATTGCTTTTTATTGTTGCTTTAACTGTTTCAATTTTTATATCAGTTAACGGTTCCAATAAGCAGAACACCGTTCATTACAACACAATGCAAAATACATATCTACGTTCGGTTATGATGTCTGATATGGGTGCAAATGAGAGTGTTGGTACTTGTGATGCTGGTAGTACATTCTCCAGTTTTAACAGCGAATATGATGAACGTAATCACACCGACGCGGATAATGTTGCCATTTTAGGCGGTGGCAGCGAACTAACAAAAGAAAACGTACACGAACCTATGTCGGCTGCCAGGCGTTCCTGTTTTGTAGCTTCACTAATGTTATGTTTCTTTACCGTTATCATTTTTGTATGGGTTATACCGTGCAATGAAGATGGAACATGTCCGGCTCCGATTGATCGCTTAAAAGCACACAATTGGCTAAATAATTACACAAAAATCGAGCTAAAAGGTGGTATTCATATAGTCAACGGACTTCGCAGCTGGGAAACTAATTTGATATTTTTGTACCGTGGTGACGCCTTCTTTCCCGAATTTCGGCCTGACAATGCTAAACGCAATGGTGTAATTTCTCTAATTAGCAGCAGCGGTGCGGTAGCTTGGTTTGATGAGATGACTGATGAGCCCGTAGCGATGGATTGTACGCTAATTGATGTGGATCGTAACGGACGGCCAGATTGCTTAATTATCGATGAGTATGGAGAGTTGGGCACAATTAATCCAATATCTGGGCAGTGGCATTGGCGGTTTAAAGAGCGTTCTGCTTGCAAGGTGGACTCTTCAGATTTTCCTGTTATATTACCAGACTTGGATAATGACGGGGTCATGGAAATACTGGTAGTAACCAGTGTATCACTGGAGCAACGTACTAAGCATTACATGCGTCAAGGTGATATCCCCAGTCATACTACGCAGTTGGAACAACGCAATTGCCTGCGTATACTTTCGGGCCGTAATGGCCGGCCAATTGGGGAAGGTTTTAAGATACACGAATGCGATACCATACGCAGATTGCAATTAGAAAGTCCAAAAGCTGTGACATTCACTTGCATACGTAATAATACGGAAGCGCAACGCCTAAAAACTTTAACAGAATTATTTGCTCTAATCACAAATAAATCATTGATGGGTCAAAAATTAAAATCCGCTGCAAAAATATCTCAACATCGACATTACGGTCAACGTAAAGGTGTTGAATCTCAGCGAGACGTTTATTCACTTAGCGGACGCGAATTGGTAGTGGAGAATAGTGGAACGTGTCCTGACGACTGCAATGTTACGGTTATCCTTAGTGAAAATCGCAATGGGAAAGTAAAAGTATTACATAGTTTTACTAATAGTGCCATGTACGGTATGGCTCCAGTTCAGTGGCATTTTAAAAATATAAAACCAAATATGTCTGGATTCGTTATGAAATTCTGGAAATGGACCGGTGATAGCGGACACTCGCATAATATTCAATCAACGTTAATGGAAGGTAAAAAGATTCGTGGCAACGATTCATTTCAAAAGAGCAGCTACGCGAAAGCAAAGAGCATTCCAAATTGGACGAAAAATAATACCAAACCACACAAACACAATCGAATTGAGGGCAATAATTCTTACGGAGGATTCAAAAGTCAGCAGAACAAACGTAAACGTCGTCATGCTAATGCATTTGATTCCTCGATAAATGAATTCGATATGTTTCATCACGTTGTACATAAGTGCAACTCTTATGATATTCGCTTGAATCCGGTACGCTTGAAGCGCAGTCACGCTTCAAATAATGTAACAAATAAAAAATCTTTGCTTATGGATAATTATCAAATGCAAATTATAACCGAGTCAGTTATTCTAATGCTGTTTATAGGCACGGAAACACGTACCGAAAACACCTCGCAAAGTAATATCGTACAATTTTGTCGCAGCGATCGCGCTGAAGTGGTCTGTCAACCTGATTTAAACAATCAAGAGAATTCAATGCTTATCGCTGACTTGGATCAAGATGGCTCAGAGGAGTTGGTATCATACACGTCAACATTTGTACAGTCTGCGGATCCGCAAGATTGGCGGTTGCTTACTTATGTACGTTTGTTGCGTTTGCAATCGGAGTTGCCGTCATTCTATGCGGACGAAATCAAAAGTAATCAAAAGTAATACAAAGTACATACAAGCAGATCCATTATTGGATACTTAACAGACTTACGAACATTTACAATATATTCAAAAGCATACATACACCATACTCACCCATTAATATTATAACGTAGCTAAAAAAGTTAGAACAAATTGTTTCATTGTAATTTATACATGCATATTAACATTTATAAAAAAAAAAAAATAAATAAAAACATTAAACACTTCAATTCAATTGTTATGCATTGCGATTATCGTCTCGCCGACTAAAGTTCATGTCTCTTAGGTAATGAATGGTTTGGTCATTGATCAATGACATTACTGTTGATTTCAAATTTATAACGGAAGCGAGCTTATACTTTAGAGTCACAGATCTAACCAGATCGATGAGCTCAGTTAAGTGCTCTTCCATATTATGGGTGATTTTATTTGCATGTTGACTATAGACCTGAAAGCTGTGAATGAAGAAAACAACAAAACAATGAAGAACGTTATAGTGGGATAAGACCAAGCTTTAAATACCCTACACTACAATATCCTAATACCATAATATTGTTTTTATCATAGAATACAAAAATTATATATTGTTTCTATGTAAAGGGATTTTTATAAAATTAAAATATGGATCAATTTTCATCATTATGTGTGAAACTTAAGAATTTTCTGCTCTGCAAAGGGTCAATTTTCATCAAAATCGAAAAAATAGACCGAGATGGTCCAAATTTAGCACACTTAATTCTTTTTATGTTAAATTACTTACTATCATATAATTTTCATGATAAAGCATTGAAAATTATATCTTTTTGTCCTATGTCATTCATTATATGGGAGGAAATTCGAAAATTTCCCCAGCGGGTCCGAAATTTTCATACCAATTTGAAAATGGCGAAATGCTACTATTTAACCACTTTTGCCGAGAAATTTTGTAATTTTTTTCCATATAACGACTTTTCGGAATAGGGCGTTATAGGAAGAATGGTCGAAAGAACGTACCGATCGGAACCATTTTCAATAACGTTCTTTCTTGGCTCAAAATACGCCACTATACTAATTTTCATCAAAATATCTCGAAAAATTGCGAGTTCAAGCTTGAACATAAATTTGCATGGACAGACATTAGACGGACAGACAGGTTTAGATCAATTCAGATTCTAAATGATTCTAAATCGATCGGTATAATAAAATGAGGATTTATCTTAAGCTCTTCTGTGTGTTATATAATTTCGCACTAACTTAATGTACCTTATACCACAAATGGCGTAGGACATAATTATTTTATAATCCTTAATGAGCATTGTGTGAATTGATTTACCCTTTAATCACATTTTCGATGATGTCATCGCTTACTTCAACGTGTTGCAAAAATTCAGTGAGATAAGAACGTTTCGTTTTTATGACAAACTGATTAAGAAGCCCTTCGGACCAGTTAATGTCATAGCCAAATGCCCGACTTATTATCAATGACTGCGGTACGCTGAAAGCATATTTCAAAAGTAATAATAATTTAAAATGTCAAAGAAATCATTGAAGACGAACCTTAGCTCGTAGCAGATTAAATTTTTAAAATGTTCGCGAGATTTTAATCTGATGACACAGACGCAAGTGATACGATTGCCCATGGATGATTGTTCCAAAGCCTTGTTGACCAAGTCGATTTGCATAGCCGTCAATTCCGCTTGGTAAGAGCTTCTTTGAGCCAATAACAGCTTATTATCGAGCAAGTAATTCTCTGTGGCATGTATATAGTATTCAAGCGATTGATTTAACTGCGTCAAGACATCTGAAGATGCGTTTAGTTTAGTTATTTCTGAGCTATTAACTTCGGGTACGTGCGCTGTTGTATAAATTTGAGTTAATAGGGTCTGAGCATCTTGTTCCCAAAATTTGGCTAAATCTTTATACATCATGAAGTGCAAAGCCGACAGCTTAAATAATTCTTTGCATTGTTGCGGAGTGCAATATTCTCGTAAATATGCCAAAATTGCTTGACGTAATCCGACAGATTTGTGTTCGTCGAATTGTCCCAAAAGTGATTCAAATTGTTCGTTTTCAATGAGAGTATCAAAGCAAAAGTACATCTCACGGTAGCGGGCAATGCCAGTCAGCATTCTTACAATTAGAGACCAGGATTTAGCCTGGGCGAGTACCGTATTTAGAGTCTTGGCACGATTGAGAACATTTGCTATACCTTCCATAGAACACTCGTGTACAAAGCATTGGTGTGCTTTTATTAAAAGTTCAACATAAATAATATTTTGTTTTTTATGGGAAAGAACTTGAGAAGGCGGAGACTCGTTTGCGATCATTGTAGTGCGTTCCGTTGCCATTGCATTATTGGACGGTATGCCATAACGTGTAATCATCTCTACTAAATGTTCAAAATAAATATTGCTTGCATAAGGCTTATTATCCTGATATTTGCGGTAAATTTTAAGAGCATCACAATATTCCAATAGACAGACACCTAATTTAGTTCGGTCAGGTGTTAATTCCAAAAATAAATGAAGATCCCGATCAATGTTGTAGCCCCAGAGATCGGCATTACGAAATGAAGTTTTTGCCTGTTGATCTGGACTAAAGATATAAAATCGTGGTCGTACCACGGCTGTTGTTATCTCAAATGCCAATAGTTCTGCGATATCCTGTGAGTTCATATCTGTACTTGTGAGTATATCACTTACAACCATTAGGCGATGTATGCAATCCTCGTCAGCCACGCTGCGCAATAAGACTTGAATGTCTTTAGTGCGTAAAATATCTATATATTCCTTATCCAGATACATGGCAGCACGATAAGCGCATATTATGCGTTTTGCTAAATTCTCGCCGTGTTGAAGCTTTGAAGCAATGCCCTGCAATATGGCCAAAGTTTCTTGCTTTTCTTTCGAGGGTATTTCTTCAAATTCCAGCGTAGAGCAACTGTCTGACATATGGCCGTGTGTTGTGCATAACGTGCGCTTATTGAATTTGGAGAAAGCAGTTTTTTCAATTTCGCCAAAGAGTTGTCGTTCATCTGCCGACATTACATACACATTCGATAGGCCTTCAGCCAAAGCCATACAGAATACAATGAAACGCAAATCTAAAGGTCTCACTTCAAACAACTCTTGTAAGCGTAAAGCTTCCACGATATCACCCTCGTCTAAAAGCCGATTCAATAAATTCTCTAAACATTTACGCTGTTTCTCGCTTAAAGTTATTTTCTTGCCAATGTTAAGATCTTCAATGCCAGCCAGCTCTTTCAATTCCAAGAAGGATTTATAGAGCACACAACGTTCTTGCAACATAATTTGCTCATAGTATTCGGAATGATATAAAGGCAACATATTTTCTTTGCTTTCATCGTTCAGCGATAAATACGCGATTATCATATCGTATTCAATGTTATCCCGATCAAATGATTCATTGGGAAACAAATGATGACGTTTAATAACATTGAGAGCCTTCTGCAGTAGAAGGTACCGTGTACGCGAGGCTTCTTCCATTGGCAAACGAGACGTTGCAAAAAGGAGAAAATTTACTAGTGTCTCAGGCGGTAAGGAATAAGTAATTATTTCTTGTTCGTGCTGATCAAACTGTAATATGAAATTATCGAAATTACTTAGGGGAGGAGATGCCTGTAATTGTAGCTCTAAGGAGTTTATCCATTTATTGTAGATAATATCGCTAATCGGTTTTTGTAAACGTGAGGCTAAACGTATCGCTACATTATATTCTTTAGCTTCGAGTACTTTTGACAATACACGTTCATACTCGTTTGTGCAATCTCCCTGGAGTAGCTCAATGAAATTCAGATTAAATCGCGTTCTACTTGCTTGTAATATTTCACAGAAATCCTTTAAAAAACAGAAATCCAATTGGCCCGTAATGTCGCTTAAGCCGGACCTGCAAACGCAATTTAAAAAATTTTTTTGCTCCTGGGCAGAATCAAAATTGTGTTGCAAATGCAAAAGAATTAAACGAACCGAACGCACCATCAGCTTCTCGCGTCTTGCCAAAGGGCTAAGCGGAGCTTTTACCTCATTGTTACTCAAAGCTAGGCAATATAATCTTAACTCATGTACAGCTGCTTCATCAAATTCATTCTTTATTGCCGTTAATTCGAAAAAACTGAAAAGATGTTTCAACGGATTTTCTGCATAAAAAATGCGAAAGCTACGCACTAAAGCTTGAATCTGACGGTGTTGTATGAGGATTTCAAAAAAATTCCAAGGAAAATATTGAACATTATTAGTTAAAATTTCAATCGTATTAAGCCATCGACCAGTTGTTACAGATAGCCATACCAGCCAACACCAATTAGGATTTGCACACATTTCGGTATCTAAAGAGGCAGCGAGTACAGCCAATATGGGTAGACGGTATTCGATGGCACAATGTAGAAAATTTATCGTCGTACTTCTCGTAAGCTTTTCCCTACGCGAATTTTGCATATATTCTAGGAAAGTTTTAGCATCAACGACTCGCTCATCTGTCAAAGCACTATTCGTATTCAAAAGAATAAGAGCAAAAACATCCAAAGGAGTATCGGTTGTGCATTCGTTTAGCACGCAAGCATTATTAAAAGCTGATGCTTGCATTTGGCTCGCAATTGTTGTCGATTCATTGCACGATGTCATTGATGACGTAATGGTTTCTACAGAGGTCGTCGTATGTTGTGGTTTATCTTTTACTTTTTTTCCTTTTTGCTTTATCTGGCGTCGCGTAACGCTTGAACGTCTTTTTAAACGGTCTCGTTCGCCCGAAAACATCTGATTTTGAGATAGGGCTCGCAACAAATGATTTCCCATTTCTACTATACCGAAAGACTTGACTAATCGTTTCACATAATCCAATGGAATGTCAAAATAATCTAAGAGCACCAGTAATTGCCAGTATTGATTGGAGTTCGCGTAACGTTTCAATACTAACGATACATGCGGAGCCTGGTCCACTTGATCGAATAGTTGGCCCATTTCAACAACCATTATAGCTTTGAAATCATCTAATGGGAATTGTTCTTTGTCTTTCAAAATTTTTATTAAATTGTTTTCGGCATCTTGCATAAGTGAAATTGAATATGTGCACGATTGTTTTTGATTTGCTTTTAACGAATGCATTAATTTGAACAAACAACGTAACTCCTTTGTGTCGAAACCTAGCATTTCGGCAAAAGCAATGCAATGTATAGTCAAGTCAGTATCCAAAGTTGTTTGCAGTGCTAGTTTGTAAACACACTCACATGCCATGAAAAATTGTGATTTTGATATTTGCGCGTAGTTCTTCAAATGATCGATAATCAAACGATAGACGGCGTATGCACTGCGAGATTGCTTAATATAATGTATATAAGTGAGTTGCATTGTTGGATCATCCTTCTCTTTGATATGCTTATTATCCGAGGTATTTAAAAAAGTTATTCGCTCGTTATTAATTATATTAAAATCCAAGTCTTTAAAAACTTTTAAGAGATCATAAGGCGTTGGTAAAGTCCTCCCAGTAGAATTCTCATCTTCTGGTTGGTAATGCAATTTCAAATAATTAAGATGTGGCAACAGATCTTCCTTTAGACTCTGTTGTAATTTCGTAATGCTTGGAGTTTCATTAAGCAATTCGAAGACACGGATTAACGGCTGCTGCTGATACAGATCAATATCCAGACTTTTTAAATATTTTGTTGCACACAGGGAAACCTATAAATATTTAAAAGAAAACAAAAAAAAAAGAAAAATTCAAATACAAAATAATTAATTAATTAATTATTATGTTTTTTTTTTGTTTTTCTTTTTTAGCCATAGAAACAAATTCAAGCACCAAAGTCCTAAAGCACTACCTAGCATCTAGCATCTAAGGCTATCGGCTTTATTGAAAACTCTACTACACTTGGGATTTCAATTTAATTATAAAATAGATTTCATCTCTTTGAGTTGTACTGTTAACGGATCTTATAATTACGAACTAAAGAAATATATTGGTTGTTAGCAAAGATTTTGCATACTTTTATTTATACCCACCACTGTTAGATGGGGATATACTCACTTTGTTTTTTTTTTGTTCGATAATGGATGTAACACCCAAAAGGAAGTTTCAGAGACCCTATAAAGTATAAATATTCTTGATCTTCCCGCAATTCTGAGTTGATTTAAAAAATATCTGTCCGTCTGTATTTCGGTGTGGTGTGTGTTGTCGGCACTCTCCTGGTCGAAAAGAAATGTCAGCTTCAAATTTGATAGAAACATTGCAAGTTTTTGCACGTAAGTTGAAAATGAGTATTGAAAATGGGCTAAATTGGTCAGAGCAGAAGCACGCAGTGGAGCGTAAAATGAACACAATTACGTTTTCTTTAACAAATATTGGTTAAAGTTAGAAGACTGAAACCGTCCACATTTACTTTACGAGACACTCTGCTCTTTATGTCCCAAAATAATCGGCCATGCCCACACAAAGTTACGAGTTTATTTTGCCTTGAAATCGGTTAATTTTAAAATAAATATGGTAGACACCGCGGTTTAATTTTTTCTTAATAATGCGGGCGACATGGGTATCAAACAAGAGAACTTGGAGAGTAGAATGCGATAAGCATGAGATTGGGGCACCGTTGAATTTAACTTTCTCAGTTGTTTCACTTGAAAAAGGCATTTATTAAGAAATATTGGTACAATGTGTGTTAAGCAAAATAGCTTCCAGCATTTTCTATAACATTTTACAATATTTTCGAAACATGGCGATGTCATGTTGAAAGACCCTTTTTTTTAAACTCCTTCAAATTTGCTTCCCAGCGTGCCGACCATGCTGCACCAACCTGAACAAGTGGTAATCAGTAGGCGTTATATCTGGTATATGTGCTGGGTGTGGCAAAACTTCTCATTCGTGCTGCTACAGCGTATCCTGGACAACATTTGCAACAAGTGGCCAAAATGACATTTTCAGTGTTGCAAGGTAGTCGTTTCCGTCCTTTTGGACCTCTCTCATTGCATGTAAACGTCTAGAAACACTTGATTAGTCAACTGTTTAGCTGTTCGAAAGTCCTTCGAGACTTTGTGCTGGGTTTTCGGCCAATAAGTCTTGCATTTCATGGCCTTCGAACTATTTTGGGTCTCCAGGCTGTTGTTTGTCATTGGCATCAAAATCACTGCTACTTGAACCGTTAAAACCAAAATCGATAGTTGAGATATGATGGCGCAGCATCACCATAAGCTTCTGAACGTGTTTGCGGGGTTTCGGCAACGGATATCTTCAAATCAAATAACAACCAAAATGAATGTCGGAAGTGCGATATGATTGGCGTTGGCGTACGCTGAATAAATCAATAATATTAAATGGAAGACTGGTATTTCATGTAGAGGAAGATGGTCGAAATCATCGAAGTTAATCGTTATATACACACACTGGTATTTGCCACTTCTTTATCATTTTTACCTGGAGAAGTCTGCAAACACCTAAGATATTTTAAAATTTTTGATATCAATTTTTGAAAACGAAAGTCATATATATGCCTACACGCGACTGCTATTCACCACTAATTCAGGCTAAAACTTGCAGAAGGATTGCTTACCATTTGAAGAATTCTCATTTTTGATTTGCTTTAATTTACTAGAACTATGCAAGCGTTCCATCTGTTCCATCAATTGAGTTCCTTAATATATAATCATTCATTTTGTGGTTTCAAAAAATAATGTTATATCTGAATGTTTCTGAATGTTTCTATAATGCCATGCTTGCAGATTCAAGTTATAAAATATTAATGTGCTGTGAAAGCCGTATGTGGCGGAAGCATCAACGAGTTTGTAAACAAGGAATGTCTTGTCTCTTTAGTGGATAGAGAATAAACCAATCATTCCTAAAACGTCCGTTGTACGTCCACAAAAGTTAACCCTTGGGTGTGGTTTGTGGGCGAAAAGTATTATATTTCAATATGAAATTATCACTACAGTGAATCTCAACGAAAGACGCTACACACGAATTGTATGATTTCGACTTGAAGGATATGTGGTTTTAATAAAATGTTGCCATAAGCGACAGATTTCGAGCCACCGTCAATATATTACGAGAAAAATTCGATGTAAACTTGCCATAAATATCATGCAATATAACTCTATTGGATCGTTAAGTATGGGATTATATCGGGGCATTGACTTACTCAAATAAAACATGGGCTCTCAATCACATATTCATCAACATTATTTGTAATATTGGCGACTAAAGAGGAGATGATTGATGTTCCCGTTTTGTATTTCTACAGACGTGCAGAGGGGGTCATTTACATCGACTCATTTTTAACTAAAAATGGCATGAATCAACATCTAAAATAAAAAAAATAATTCATGTTGACATTTTTTGCCGTTTAATTTTTATTACAAATTCAAAAAAACGCTTATTCGGGGACTACACATGACTATTTCCGTTTAAGTGATTAACATAACTGACTTTTAGGGAACGTACACCGACAATATCTTTGCGATTACTTCAGACAATTCCTTTAGACCATGGGAAAATCATAATTCCTTTAAGGTCTCATTGTGAAAAAGGAAAAAAAGAGTTAAATTCATTATGATTCTCTTACAAGATTTTCAATGTCAGCTTAAATTTAAAAATTCTTTGAGGCCCTTCTGTTCTCATAACAAATTATTCTATTGTAGTTACAATTAACACATTACAGTATTTGAATGGATATCAACATATCAACATACAGGTGGTGTGTTGGCAAACTAACATTTTCAATTTGATATTTGATTTTACGTTTTTAATGTCATCACAATAACAAAGCCTTTATCGCATACTTTCGTCTTGTGTCAAGTTGAAAGCTTAATGCATTACATTTCAGCAAACAAACTACTAAGAAAATAATAACAAAGAGTCAACTGACTGGTGATAACAATAATGTTACTCATATTTCTCACTCATTGATGACCACATTGTATCATATTACATACATCAAATTTATATGAACTTGGCTTCAAAACATTTTTTTTTTTTTAATTAAAGACATAAATACGGTCGGAACACTCGTACGGAGAGGGAAACGGAGAATAACTCTTGAAAAATATCCGATTTGAATTCAAATACAAGACTATATAATCATAAGTCGTTTTAACGTGGTCCCACATGTTTTTGCCTTGTTAAATGACAGGAATTATTTAAATTTAATGGTTAAATCATTGAGAAGCAAAAAATGTGACGATAAATTATCTACTTCAGTTTGCTGTAAGGCTGTTTTTTTTTCTCTGACTATTTAGGAGCCAATCAAGCCCATCTCTAAAAGTAAAAAAAGAAAATAAATAGAGCGATATGACTCGTTTTTCAAAACCAAGCTGCACTGTCTTTTCAATGTAGATTTGGTGGCGTACTTACATTGAAGCCGTCGAGTGTGGTGATGAAAAAAACAATAATTAATGTTATTTATTTCCAAAATCACAATGAATCAATTTAGTTATCTCCAGAGACTGTAAAGCATTTCAAAGGGTGTAGCACATTTATATTCAATTCAGAACGTAAGGCTAAAGATGAGTTAGACAAACGAGTTTCTACTCGATTTAGAGAAATGCATTCGTTCAATTAAAAGGGCGTGGGGATTGGGTTTGAATGAGTTTATTGAGGTAGATAAGCAATCTGAATTTTAGATAAATGGGACAATTATGAGAAAGCATGAATGAAGGAGAAGATATCGTTTGAGAGGGGAATTGATAACGGTATGTTTAATTTTCAAAGTTGGATATTCTATTTAGATTCTACAGTTTTCCGAGGGTAAGAGACAAAATTAAATTATTTAAAACTATTATAAGCGAATAGAGCCAATAAGACGTAGTGATACCCGATGGATGCAGGAAGAAAGTCTGCCGATAATTTGAGTTATTCTCTATGTACATTGTACAAAGGAACATTTTTTTTCATTTTTCTCCCAAAACTTATTTTCAATCCAGTCGTTGGACATGTAAAATTCTCCTTGAAATGCGAATAAATGTTTGGCATCTGTCACATTATATAAGGGAAGGAAAGTTTATATCAGCTTTGTCGCTTCGGTTACGAACGAAAACATCCTAAATTGTCTAACTCGCGAAGCATCAATACAGCCTACCTACAGTCTACCGTTTCATCTGTTCGTCCATTCCGTTCAAACACCTAGTGAAGCAAGAATTAAGAGCAAAACTTACATGTATGATCTTAAGCGAGTATATAAAAGACAATATCACCCTATGTCGCTCTTTGAAATTTATTTGAAACAACTGTGGGAAAAAACTCTTAAAAAAGTCTTTCTTAAGGCATTACAGCTCTTAAACAACAACAACGCTTTTCTTGCTTTCTCGTATCTTTGCAAATCATAACTTTGCATCTAGAGAACCAATTCGGAAATTTCCCGAAAATATGATTGAAAATTTTGGAGGAGTGACTGAAGCATATAAATTAACCAAACTGAATGATGACGGAAAAACACGCTCTCCTACAGGAAGGATTATTTTAACTTTTGATCGCTATCGATTACCGCGAACAGTTGATGTGGCGTGGTATAAATGTAAAGTAGAACTATACATCCCAAATCCTATGAGGTGTAAAAATTGCCAACGCCTGGGTCATACGGCAAAAAGATGCACTAATGCTGAATCTTGTGCTAACTGTGGTCATCCTCCACAAACTGAAAGCTGTACCCGTAGTTTCTGCATAAATTGCAATGATCAACACTCAGCGTTAGACAAACAATGCCCACGTTTTGTACAGATGCGTGAAATATTAAAAATCAAAACAGAAAATTACTGTAGCATGGGCGAAGCGCGACGCACATACCGGGAAAGAAATCCATCTGTAGCCCATGGAATTGGCAAAAGTAATACCTATGCTGCTGTTGCCTCGCAAATCGAGCCTAGTAAGACTTTAACTGCAACTGCTTCCAATGAAAAACCTGTTCCACCATTAACCAAAAATTATATTGCGAAACCAGTTACATCACTTGCCAAAGATAATATTGAAAAAACCAAAGCAGCTGCAAATATTGAAAAAATTAAAACAACAACACATATGCTAAAATCTAATATACCAAATTCTCCAGAATCTCCAGCTCTCAACTTTACTCAACATATCACAAGTGGTAATGAATCCATTCTTTCATCCCTCAATCAACCTTCAATTTCAAATTATTCACGTGCGCCAACCCGTTGCGCTTCAAATGTACCAAATCACCTAAATACAGATTATTCTGCTGGTAAGAATAAATCATTCACGAAAAATTTCTATAGTGACCTTCTCGACGGAGACGCTGACATGTCAACTTAACCCTCCCTCCACTCTGCTTACATGTCATTACAATTCAATAAAGTTTTTAAAATTCTACAATAGAACATTAAGGGACTTATTAATAATTTTGATGAACTCCGTACACTCATAAATGATTTTAATCCAACCTTTTTATCGCTTCAAGAAACCCATTGTAGAAGCTCTTTTAATCCTATTCCACCCAAATCATATACTGGATACTTCACGAATGCTGATCAAAATTCATATTCCAAACAGGGAGTAGGTGTTTTTATAAAATCAAGTATACCTCACAAACGCATAAATTTAAGCTCAAATATACAAGCCGTAGCGATACAAATAATGTTAAATATAAAATTTACAGTGCTTTCGCTCTATATTCCACCTTCGCAATCGTTTTCTCAGCAAGAACTCTACAGTTTATTCTCCGTACTTTCCCCCCCATTAATTATATGCGGCGATTTCAACAGCTGGAATACCATCTGGGGCTCAACAGTGAACAACACTCGCGGTACTGTTTTAGAAAAGGCCTTTTTTCAAAGCAACCTTTGCGTTTTAAATGATGGAAAAGCAACGCACTTCTCAACTCATCATACTTTTTCACATATTGATTTAACATGTTGCTCTCCATCACTTCTTCCTTTGGTGTCCTGGTCTATTTCTGATGATCTACATAATAGTGATCACTTTCCAATCATAATCGATCTTAAACTTTCAACGTCCTCTGCTACTCCAGCAAAACAGGCCAAATTCCTCCTAGATAAAGCGGATTGGATCAATTACTATAAACAGGTGGAGTCATTTTTGAACTCAAAGCCATTTAACGGAAACTGCAACCATGATGCTGCTATTATGTCTAAATCGATTCGCACGGCTGCTCATCTTTCTATTCCTCAATCCAACACCTCTTTTAAACGAGCTAGGGTTCCATGGTGGAACAACACGCTTTCGTTTTTGAGGAAAAATAAAATGGATCTATGGCACCGCTTTAAGAGATGTCCTGATCAGAATCACTTGTTATTATACAAAAAGGCCAATGCTCTATTCAGGAAGGAATTACGGAAATCAAAGACACTTAGTTTCGAACTTTTCTCGAGACGAATTCACAGAAATACATCGATGAAAGTTGTCTGGAACAAAATCAACAGACTTAATGGGACTTCAAACCTGAACCAAATTTCTGCCATCTGCACTCCCAATGAAACTTTAACTGACGCAGATGAGATTTCTAATTACTTTGGAAAAGTGTGGTGCGAATACTCCTCTGACAGCTACTTCTCCAGTGCTTTCATTGAAAATAAAAGGACTCCAATATCTCCTTCAAATAATATCGATAGACGTGCCATGTTCCTGGAAAATAGCGTATCTACCTCAGAACTTGGAAGTTGTCTCTCCAATTTGAAGGGGAAGACACCTGGTCTAGACCGCATCTCATACCAAATGATCAGTGCTATGTCTAAGTCTAGTAAAAAGAAATTACTGGACCTATATAATACGGTATTTATGACTGGCCATATACCCTACATGTGAAAAATGGCAACAGTTGTTCCAATTCCAAATTCAAAAAATGTCTCCATCGCATCTGATTATCGCCCAATTTCTCTTTTATCTTGCCTCTCTAAGGTTTTAGGGAAGATTATGGCATCTAGATTATCTTGGTTTCTTGAATCCAAGAACCTGATAACAAAGCAACAAGTTGGTTTCAAGCGGGGTAGAGGATGCATCGACGCTCTGTTACATATTGATTATTTCACAAGCAAAGCAATTTCCGAACGAAATCACGTAACAATTCTCTCAATTGATTTCGAAAAAGCATTTGACAGAGTTGGTCTTCATGTTATCTTAAGACTCTTGAAATCATGGAATGTTGGACCCAAATTCTTCAACTACATCAAATCATTCATGTCGCATCGGCGGTTCAAAGTTAGAATCAACAATCATCTTTCTGATTCCTTTCCGCTAAAGAATGGCATTCCGCAATATCTCCTCTCTCTGTCACGCTTTTCCAGATCGCTTTCAACGAAATTAGCGAAATTCTTTGCCGTGTACCAAGAGTGGAACATTGTCTCTACGCGGACGATGTATACATTTTTACAAAAGAAAAAGACAACACGAAAGCAATCAACATCCTCGAATCTATTGCATGTGAGATCTCCACATGGGCAAACTCGTCAGGAGCTATAATCTCTATACAAAAATCAAAAAAAATGCACATTTGTCGAAAACAAATGTGCGATGCAGGAAAACTACTGATGCATATTAACGGCTTACCAGTACTAAATGTGCAGACGCTCCATGTTCTCGGGCTCACGTTTTCAAACAATTATCGTTGGAAAGCACACTGCCTTCGTTTAAAAAACTCCCTTTTAACAAGGGTAAATTTCATACAGTACGTTGCTTGGAGAAGCCATGCGCATATTAACACTATCGCTTATCTTACCAAAATGCTTGTGTTAAGCAAGATTGACTATGCTTTGATAATTTATGGCAATAGCTGCAAATCTAATATCAACATCCTTAACCCGGTCTATCACCAAGCCGTTAGAGCAAGTTGTTATGCTTTTCGGACGACGCCCATAAATAATATTATAATTGAAACTGGTCTCCCAACCTTAGAAAATAGACTGTATGAGTTAAAAGCTAAAATAGTCCCTAATCTTCTTAATTCAAACAAATCCATTCTCGCTGATGACGTAAGAAAGATTATTATTGCAAAGAAAGTTCCAAAGTCACCATCTGCAATTGACCATTGTTTGTGCATCGCAAAGGAATTGAACATTCCCTTAAAAAATTTCCCGCTCTTTTGGTGTTAAACCTCCCTGGATTTTGAAAGACTGCTCTCACTGTCTATGCACAAGAAAGAAGGTACTCCAAATTACGTCTTCAGGAATCTAATAGCTGAGAAAACCCAATTGGACAATACTGGTTGGAGTCTTTTGTACACAGACGGCTCAAAATCTCCTGGTTTGCCTCCTGCTTGTGCGGTGGTAGATGCTACAGGACGGGTTCAACCATATATTTCACGAAAGCACTTCAACTTTCATAACCGAAGCCAGAGCTATCCTTCACGCTGCCAACCTTGCCCATAAAAACAAACTCAAAACCGTGATTGTTACTGACAGTTTGTCTGTATTACAAGCTACCCGGAACCCTTCGACTTCGAGATGGAGCACCATCAACAAATTAAGGAATATAATTACTACACCCGGCGGAAAAATTAAAATGTTATGGGTACCAAGTCACATCGGTTTACTGGGAAATGAGCAGGCTGATCAAGCGGCAAAGTATGCTGCTTCTGCTCCTCTAATTATGGATGATGTCATGGAAAAGTTGGATCTTCAAAGATACATTGGAAGAAAAGTTAAAGAGAAAATTGCAGAAGGATATTTACAATACCATCATCAACACTACTCTTGCATTAACCCTCAATTAACTCCACCTTTATATCCAACAAATGTTGAGAAAACCAAGATCCAAACATTTTCGAGAATTCGCCTTGGTCATACAATTGCAACTCACCAATGGATCCTAAAGAAGTCTTCTCCCCCAATCTGCTGTTGTGGACAAACTCTTACTATAAAGCACATTCTCTGCGACTGCTTCAACTTTTCCTTGGTTAGAAGTATTGCATTTGGAACGATTAACCCTTTGAACATTCTACAATCAGCTTCAGAACAGAATATCAATTCAATATTTTACTTTATTAATACTACTAAGCTTATTATCTAATATCCATTTTTCTAAATTAGAGCCGATAGCCTGTGTTGCTAGTGCTCAATGTCTCTTTTTTTAGTCTAAGAATTCAATTCATTAGTCTAAAATTAAAATAATAAATAATAATAAATAATATGATTTTCCAGAATACAGTCTCTAATCAACTTTACGAAACCGGAAATTATTGGTTTAAGCGAAGTTTCTTTAAACCCATACAAAAGTTTCGCTCGAGACAAAATTGACTTTGCCGGAACACCATTTACTGACTCCGCCTTTTTTCGACCATCAAATCTACTTCAGAAGAGAGCATTGAAGGCGTTTTAGAAGTTGAGCCTTTGTTTTGGTTATTCAAAAATATATTAATGTTTTATTTTTTGATATTGTACTATAACTGCGTAATAATTGTGTAGAAATTGTCCAAATGAAACGGTTACTTCGACTAGTGCTAGTATCTCCGATATTTATAAAATATTATTAATTTGATGAAAATAATTTAATCAATCACGTGACTTTCTATACCAAAAACAGATCCCAAGCATGTAATGTGTTCAGTTTTTTTGTTTTTTCTTCGTAATGGTAATTAAATTATATCAAATGCACATATATAATAATAAAGTCTTTGATGCGCATTTTTACGTTTTAAAACCAGAGAGTGTATCAAAATCTTCTACTTACCTTTTTAAATTCATCAGCTTCTTTTAGTGAATGTGTTTTCAGTGCTATTATAAACTCCATCAAAGGATTGTTACCGACTATCAAGCCTTTGAGTTCATTTGGTTTTATAAAATCTTGCAACAACAAATAATAAAGCTTTTTTTGCCATATTAATTGTCCCAACTGAAGTTTTTCCCAATGATTATTATTTTGTCCAAAACTTTGGGTCACAGAAATACGTCGCAAAATTATTTCAACATTTGAAATTTCTGCGGGGAAAAAGTAACCGGCTGCCGCAAAACAATTACGTAGCGAATCATCGTTTATATCCTGGAAACAATCGAGAGCATAGTCAAACATTTCTGGTTCTATAGACCATTCGGCATATTTATTTTCTAATTCCGTGCTTGGCGGTGTTGAGCAAAAACCTTTGGGAATGTTTTGCAGCAGGCACCAGCGTATAATATCGGAAACATTTTTAATTTCAACTAAATAACGCCAAAGAATGCCTTTATCGATATATTCCAATATTTCGTGTCGCCGAGTTTCAAAATATAATTCCACCTGCAATCGTTGTAATGTATTTGTATCTAATTTCACTAACGTTTCCAGATTAATACGTCGCATATGCTTTTTTATATTGACCATAATATGATCCGATTGCTTTAGTTGCAGTAACAATTGCCAGTAATATTCTAGATTTTGAATTAGCTTGTTGTAATCATAAGATTCCCTCTTTTTCAAGTGATCTAACACGATTTCCTTTAATTCTGGGTCATCACATTCGCAAGCAAATTGATAGTAGAAATAACGCACATCACGTTGAACATTACTTAACACACTCTCAGCTTTACAAACCAATCGCTCCGTTAGTAAACGTTGCACATATGTTTGCACTACATCATGAAAGAATAATTCATATTCTGTTGCAGGCATTTTACGTTTGCGAGCCCAATATTGTATGCAGAGATCTATGTTTTCACCTTTGGTGGCGACTTCTTTAATAAGAGCCACCTCGCTAACGCCAGACCATGACTTGAAAATTTTCTCTCGTTCATTTGCGTTCATGTTGATTTACTTTTATTAACACCGATTCTCGATGGTATTACTTCTGCTGCTTTATTTTTTTATGTTATGCTATTACCGTTTGCATATTTTTGTTCTTTTTTTCATTCATTCATTTCGTAAAAGCACAATGGCTAAGGCATGTAAATTCGTAGACCTATGCACCAGTAAAAAGAAACGTAGAAATTGCCCTTTGTTAAGTGGCAAAGATGCACCGGATATTTTGGTTTTCAATTGTTTTGCTAGCTTTAACTAATTGAAAACATTCCCTCTTGTTTATTGCAAGACAGCTGCAAAATGCCAATGTTGCCGATTTAGCATTTTTTTCAATTGAATTGCGTTATTAGCTGCAGCGATTTTTTCAATATCATGTCAATTATATTTATTTTATATTAAGTTGAACTTTGTAAAAAAAACGAAAACTAGTAAATCAGACACTTCTCGTTAATTAAAAAAAATTTTTACCATGATCATGAACTGCAAAATGGTTAGCCACATGATCATTCAAGGTATATGGCCTCATTCTGTGCACAATCAAAATGATACATTATCATAGGTTTTGAGCGACGCTAAAATCGGTTTTGTCACCTTTTAGTGCGTTTTTGGTATGCTGACGTTTAAGCATAAATTTGTAGCCTACAAAGAATACGACATATTTAATGCTCTACTCTTAAGCAGACCGACCACTGAGTATATTTTATCATATCAGAATGTATTGCAACGGTATAAAGGGGAAAATTTTTCAAAGTTTAAAGGAAGTATAAAAATGAGAAGAAAAAGGAATTACAATGGTTTCATACACATTTTTGTGGAAAATAAGTAAAAGTAAGCGTAAACAACAATATTTTTTTATTACGTTCTTATATATTAGGCAGTTTTATTACATTACAATGTATCACTTAAACAATAGAATAAGAATTATTATACCAATATATTGTATTAATAATTTATCTTCAATTCGCTTCATTTTGTAAACCCGCGGTTTGCTTTTTTCTGCACTACAATTTGCGATTTGTATAAACCAACAACTCTGCGTTAGCGTAATATTGACATTAGAGAGTTTCGTTGTTATTTTTGTTTCGGAGCAACAAATTTGAAACAAAATAAAGAGTGACGAGGAAACAAACACAAGCACATATTTTACGTCGGCAGAGGGCAGTGCCAGAATAGGGCTGTGAGATTTAAAATCTTTTATCATCAGATAACCAGACAGAATTATGGCCTTGACTGATGTGTATGAAGGAAGATTCATGGGCAGAGCATGCAATATCTCAAAATCTCTGTGGCTTTATAGAATTTAAAAATGACGATTCATCCGCAAGTTTAATATTAGCGAATCCTTTTTAGCGAGACCGGCTTCAATTGCTGAGAACAGATGAAGACTTGGTTGTCTTTTAATTAGTTAATATAATAGTAGGAATTGGGACTGAATAGGCAACGTTATTTTTAAACTATTTACAATAATAATAATGATAATAAGTACAACGTTCAAAGAGAAAGATTAGTCAGGCTTGAAAGCTTTGAAAGAAATGGAAATTATTGATAGAGATTATATCATATCTATCGCTTTAATTAAAAAATTGTTACGTGCTCGGATAAATATGTAATGACGTGTATGTTCTCAAGTGAGCTTGGCTAATGAAGTTTCGAGTTTTAAATTGGCAAATTTTTCATGACTAACTCTTGAAAATTGAGCTAACAACAAACGTTTTCCATATGCCCAAGAATATGATTGTGTTTGCCCTTTGGACAACTACTAAATGCTAACATTTTTTGACAAGAAAATATTGTTTTCATGGGAAGATTTTTCTACAAGGCAGATTTCTTGGCGCACCGTTATACTATTCCCTTCTCTTTTTTTCTTTCTAATTATTTTAGTATATTGTTTTCTTCATTTCTAATGGTTAAAATAAGCCCTATACAAGCTTATCGGAACACGTGACTTGCACTTTTATCCTACCGTTGCCATCGGAATTAATTTTCAAGCAGCTGTGAAGTTTTAACCTCTGTTACGATTTGTAGACCGATTATAGTCAGTCCCTGAGATGTTTTATTAAGGTTTATTTTCTCAATCTCCTTCTCTCATAGAAATTGGAATTTAGAAGTTATCTTAATTTGTATTTATCCAAGATACTTCTCTTTTTGCAGAATTATTGCAATGCATTGAGAATTAGGCATCAGAAAAGGTCCTATAAAGTTCAGAAGATGCAAAATTTTATAAGGTCTTCACCAAACCAACAATGAAAGTCATTATAAATTATAATAAATTTATAGATTTTACAATTTATTTAAGTAATTTCTTTTTTTTTGTTAGTTTTAATCTTGTTTTAAAAATGTAAATATAAATATCATTACAAACGCTTTGGTTTTTATCTTGCATTTTAATATAAACAAAATATTTACAAATATATGGATAATTTGAAAACTAATTATTTTTTATTTTACAATTTAATTAATTTTTCTTATTTTTTCATTTGAAATTTTATTCAAAATTTAGTTTTTTTTGTTAAATTCATTACAATCGTCATGTACAATGTCTCTGGACATATTTATACAATATATGTAATATAAACAGATCGAATGAATTTAAATAATTAAAAAAAAAAAAAAATTAATTAAATAAAACTGTGTGTGATATAAAGTTTTTATCGGTTACTTGCTAAATATATGTACGCTTATAAATAGGAAAATTTATATAGGTTTTCGATTGAACATTGAATATCAATTGGAAGTTATTTAATTATATATAATAATAGCTGCAAATCTAATATCAACATGCTTAAACCGGTCCACTACCAAGCCCTTACAGCAAGTCGCTATGCTTTTCGGACGCAGCCCATCAACAATATTATAATTGGATCTGGTCTCCCAGCTTTACAAAATATACTTTATTGGTTACAAGCTAAAATCGTCCACACGTTTCTTAATACCAACAAACCTCTTTTCGCTGAAGATGTGAAGAAGATTATTATTGTCAAGAAAATTCGTAAGTCACCATCCGCAAATGACTATTGTTTGTATGTCGCAAAGGAATTGAACAGTCGCTTAAAATTTTTCCGCCATTTTGAAAGACTACCCTTTTTACATTTCGCTGTCTATGTACAAGAAAGAAGACAATCGTGTTTAGGGATCTAATTGGGGAAAAAACTTAAGTACTGGGGAGTAACGGTTGGAATCTTTTATATGCAGGCAGTTCAAAATCCTTTGGACTGTCGCCTGCTTGTACCGTAGTAGAAGCTTCAGGACAGATCATGCTTAATCACGTACTTCAGGAGAGTGTTTCAACTTTCACAACCGAAGCCAGAGCTATCCTCCACGTTGCGAACCTTTCCCATAAAGATAAACACAAAACAATCATTGTTACTGATATAGTTTGTGTATATTAAAAGCTATATGGAATCGTTCGATTCATGATGGAGCGCAATCAACAAATTAAGGGATATCGTTAACAACATCCGACTATAAAATTCCAATGCTTTGAGTATCAAGCCATATCGGTTTATTGGGATATGAGCAAACCGATCGAGCGGCGGGGTATGCTGCTTCTGCGTCTCCAATTGTCCGTGAGAGAGTAACTAAGCTTTTTAGTTATTTTAGTCAAGGGAAAATCAAAAATTTCAAGAGAAATGCAATGAAGTGATTTAAATAAAGCATTGCCTTTTGTTGGCCATAAAAGTGGGTCCTTTGTATTAAGGGAAAAAAAGTGCTATTTTCCCCTTGGGAAATGGTTCTGTCAGAGAAAAGGAGGAATAGAGAAAAGGTGTGGTGAATTAAATCCTCCTTTAGCGCAAATGTTCCGCCTTTTCAAACCTCATTTATGCTATCTAAAAAAGGAATTAGTCTTCCACAGCTTCTTCGTATAAATACCAAGAGAAGTGACAGTAGTACGCACAAAGTCGACAAGCTAATTAAAGATAGATGTTACACCTGAACGTTATATAAGCTGAGGTCATCCTACTATGTATTATGCAGCGTTTATCGATTCGCATCACAAATCTCAAACAAAGGGTACATTGAATGGAAGAATGTAAACAAATATAAATTTTTTTCTTTTTTCATATTTTTCTTCCCTTCAAAATAACTTGCCGCTGCGTCATGGTTAGAATTCAAGAAATGCATACAGCAAAATCGCATGATTTGAATTTTCGTCCGATCACTTCTAATGTATAAGCCTATCGGTATATTTTTTTGGTTGGGCTAATTCGATTGTCCTTTGCTTGGGCTTTGCTTTCAACGCGGCTTCCGATACTTTGTAAGGATTTCTACGAACATGCTCAATTTCAAACTTTTTCGGTTGGGCCAACTTTCTAGTACGCTTAGATGCTTTAGCCCTGAACGCTTTTCGCGATATAGTAAAGGGACTCTCTTTCACATCAACGGGAAATATATCATGTGATTTTGCACCAAAAAACAATTCATACGTATACACGAGTTCTTTCAGTGAATCTGCCGTTACTTTACCTTTTCTTATTTTCTCGTTTAACCTCACTTGGATTTTGTTTTGAATTATCTAATTTTTCGCACGTACAGAGGCGTATTTAAGCATTCGCATATCTAATTTTTCGCACGCAGAGAGTCGTATTTAAGGATTTCAATTTTGTTTTTGCATACGTTCCTTTTTTTTAAACGAATGATAATATTTGAATAATGCCCGAAAAATAGAAATATCAGTTGCGCCAGCTACGGCGTAATTTAAAAATGGAGAATCTGCGAAACATCCAACATTCCACTACAAAACCACCAAATCGATTCCCAATAATACCCCACAAACATTTCACCAACCCCGCAATAATGAATTTCCTTTTTTTTACAACGCTGGAAACGAGCGCAGAAATGTCATTTAAAAAAAAAATGACGGTGCAAAAGGATGAAAGTAAGTTTTGTAATTTTAATTTTATTTTATTATTTTATTTTTATTCTAGCTCAGAAAAGAGAGTGGCGGCACTCATGCCGCAATGCCGACGCGGATTAGCGTCAGCGTTGAAGCCGCCCCACGTCGCAATGAATCGCACACGCAGCCCAGGCGGCGGGGTAGGATAGGTAGGCGCCGTCCACCAACAAATGAGGCAGCAAGGCGTAGCAATGAATCGCAATTAAGTCCACATACTTCTTTCATGGATGCAATAGGGAATATAATAAAAAAAATTGATTGGAATACCAAAATAGTATTCATGTATTCAATAGTAACGCACAGAATAGAAATAGAAATTTACTTTTTTTTCTAGACAAAAAAGGAGGTCGTGCAC